ATCTCTCCCCTTGTGTCGATAGTGTTCTAGCTGATACCATTTCATATCGGAAGCCTGTTTGGTCTGTATTAAATATTTTGTTGTGTGCAAAGTTCTTGAGTAGTGGAACAATCTGCGCACGGAAATCTTCAGCATCCTGTTGTATGTCCTCAACTTCCTTTACAGCACGGAAGCTCACAAGTTTTTGAATTTTTCGTGAAACAATTCTGTTACGTCGCTTGAATGTGTTAAGCCACGAATGAGACGCCTTAAACATTAATCCGTTAAATTCTGACGCTTTGAGTATCGCCCACTTCTTCAAATCCATATCGTGAACAGGGAGATATTGTTCCCTACATAACTTAAATTGTTGATAAACATAGTTTTCGATTTCTATGAATAATTCGTATTTCGTCCCACCCATCTCAATTTGCTTTTTCCATCGGTTTATATAGTTGGGTTGACGTACTTTGCTGAAATTTTGTTGGAATGTCAAGAATTTCCACCCCGGATGTCTTTCAAATTCTTCAACTGCCCGTTTTTTATATTCCATTGAAACTTCAGATAGTAGTATATAATTTCCTTCTTGGTCAGTATATGGTTGGAACGTATCGTCCTCACTTGGTCCGTCGCCTAAATATATTTTGACACACTATTAAAACACTTTATATATACAAAATAAAGCAAGACACCTTACCATTTTCATTTTCATCGATGAATATAAATTCGTGAGTTATGTCGTGTAATTTTTCAAGCAGTAATTGTGCCAATTCTTCCTCTTCAATATTAGGTGGTGTTTCGTCATATGAATATGTATTTTTAATAATTTTAACGAGAGCATTGGCAACTGATAAAAAATTAATGCTGTCCATTTTACAAGAAATAAAATTATAGTAGTGAACGAATGAGGAAGTAAAAAAAGTGAGTGAGAGAAAATATGGCGAGAGTGAGTGAGAGGTCATTTCTGGAGAAGCGGTGGGACGGGAGTCAGCGCGACTCGCATAGGAGGGGCCGTCACATTTTTCGTCACTTCGTGACGTAATAGCACGTCAACGCTTGAGTATTGGAAAAAGTTCCAAAAGAAACGTGTCTTGTGATTTGTAGACTGATTTTTTGGTATACGTCTCGTTCAAATCCCAGTTTTACATGAAAAAAACCTGCATTGTCAGAGTGCATAGAATTGTTAAAAATCTGGTAGTCATATAGGCACTCTGTACTGGTATTGAGTTGGTAAAATTTCATACCGGATTGATAGTAATTTGTTCCTTAGAGGTAAATCATTACCATTACCATGTCATTACCACAACATTACTGAGCGGTATTCCAGTTATTACCGTGCCCATTGAGTCACATATTTACTCCTGTCGGTAATGATTTAATACCAGTTTTCTAAGAGTGTATATTTATATGTGTTATTATAAACTACATACTTTTCCAATCTGGTTCTGCAAACCGGTGTACGTGATCCATTACTCTAATGAACTATCTAATTTATTTACCGCTCTTTAAATACATATTTAAATATGTATGTAGATACATTCTTGTTGTTGTAAGCTTAAACTGCCCGAGCAAATACGGAAGGTATCTATGTTCATAAAATACGTAAAGCAAAATCGGCGAATTTTTTACCCCTCCATCACCCTCGTAACGGGTTGAACCCCTTTTAAGCATGTGGCTCAAGTTGACCAGTAACACAACAGTCCAACTCTTCCTCATCCGCAGCGTTACGTATCTAATGAACGTTCCCATGGGACATGAAATCCTATCTAGTAAAGTTTCATAGTTATAATTAATCCTTAGCGGAAAAGTTGAGTGCGATTTGACAACCGCTATCACGTACATACATATTTCTACCAGAAGATATACCATTCCCCCAGATATTTTTCTTCAAGGGGGCCACCTAGCAGAAATATTAGCGCTACGCCTTTCTTAATTTTTGACTTGATTTTTTGATATGCATAACTCGCCCAGATAATCCAGGTGTAGCTTAAAAATAGGTTCCATTATAGGAATTGTTTACGAAATTTACCAAATATTTCTATCAAACGATGTACCATTCCATGGGGAAAGCTTCCATCCCATATTTTTTAACCGTCTTAATTCACACAGTGCATGGAAATGTTTCCGCAGTTTCAGAGTGTCTAATCTACCTTCGAGTATACGGATTTTCTTCGGAAGCTCACTCCTTCATAATAAAAAATTCTCATCGTACCACGATTTCCAACTTTTCTTACTCTTTCCACACCTGGGTCGTAATTGCGAGTGATACTTTCGCAAACAATTTTATCATTCCTGTAAAAAGGGTTAAATTTGGGTCATCCTGCAATGCTGTTTTCCTCTTTGAGACGAACGCCGACGAGGCAAACGGTATCTTATTAATATTCGTTTATTCAATCTATAGAGAACGAATAAATTGTTCATTCCGTATTCAATAAATGAGTGAAATACGCAATGAATAATTTTTCTAAATTTTTAAATGAATAAATATTGAATAAATATCTATTCATTTCATTCATATATTCATGAAAAATGAATGAATTCATTACTCATTTTTTACTCTATGCTTAATACATGGGGTATATTGAGAAATCCATCTAATAAGGCGAATTTGAGATAAAATAAACAAAAACCCGAATTTTGACAAAATGCTTATTTACTTTAAAATTTTGAACAAATAAATGAGTAATGAATTTTTTCAACTTTTAACTTCAATTTATTTTAAGTGCAAATTTATATTTTTCGGACAGGTATTTGGCAAAGGCAATTATGGGGCGATACGCGATGGCTCTTTTACTGGAAATATATCTCCCCCACTAGCACCTTAATAGTCGTGCGACGCCCCCACTATTCCCACGCGATAAATTGGAACTCTTGCCGAGCATCCATGTTCGAATACAATTTCGTGCATGACGACGTCGAACTCGAAAGTGAAGATGATCATTTCCGTGGGGGGTGGTTCTATTCGAAAGAAACGAACCCTCCAGGGTACCAAGTCACCCCGTCTCATGTCTCCCTTTGGGATTTAGTAACAAAGTCGTTTATACCCACCGACCAGAACCTTAATGGACAAAAAGTCCGCATATTAGATGAAATAGAGGGGACCCTTCCCCAAGCCATGATTATCCACCTGCTGGCGGTACACATGAACTTCACTCCATACATCGTAAACTCCACAGATAAGGACTTATACACTAATAATAACAACCGTCTTCCATCCCTTTGTATCGCAAACATTGCCCTTCCCCGGGTAAACTTTGAAGTTAGCGCCACCTATGATACCGGTTACCCACGTGTCATCTATTGCCGAGCGTGGGAACGCTTTCAAACCGGGTGGAGCGTCTGGCTGACGCCGTACCACGCCTCGACATGGGCTCTCCTACTCGTCGCCATAGGTGGGCTGCCGTTCCACACGTGCAAATATTTATATTTGGAAAAACGGAGGGAACGTTTCTTGAAAAACTTGACTTTCGCGCTTTTAGAGGAAATTTACTTTCTTGTTTCAATCTTTATCCGGCAACCGATCCGAACCGTGACGAAGCGGCATATTCTCTTCGCCCTGGGGACGTTGGTGATGTCGTCGGGATATGAGTCGATAATCACGGGGAAGATCATCGCCCCCGCGGCGCTCTACAGGTCATAGGTGCATTATTTACATAAATTAGCTTATTTAAATAAGGCTTAAATAATGCTTGGCAATTATTTATCTATGTTTAAATAATCTCAAAATGACAGTTTTTCACGTTTTTAAATTATTGCCTTATTTTAATTATTTATTTATTTAATTATTTAGTTCTAAATAACCCAATTATTTAAATGAAATTGAAAATTTCTTAGTTGTTTATTCTTTATAAGTTAAACAATTCTGAGAAAAAGAATTATTTATTATTTATTATTTGAATAATTTATTCCTTATTTAACCCAACTCTGCTATAAATAGGTTTGCCAACATTGGGGAGTTTTTCCACCTCGGGGGCTACACGAGGCTGGTAGGAAGCGTAATTCTGCTCGACTCGGAAGCCTATCATCCCGAACTACAGGCCGACATTGTGACCGAATTCGAACGGTACAATGTATCCGACCGGTTAAACGGGACCTTCCACATGAAGAAAACTAACGGTCAGGATTTATATTCAAATTGGCTGGGAACAGCGAAAATGTTAGCGGTTAACCGGACTACGGGGCTATTTGACCAGTTTTCATTCTCGCTGAGTAAAGTGTTGGCGCAATTGTATGAAATGTACGGAAATGAATATCGTAAGGATGGGGACGCCCTGCAGTGTGATACGTTCACCTTGGGGGCGGCCCTTTTTAAGACGACGGAGATTAGGATGCCGGCTGGTGGGGCGGGGATGAACATTGTTCGGCACCTTTATCAGGCCGGGTTTCCGGAATTGTTTAGGGACAGGTTTGCCCTGAGGATTATGAGGTTTGAGTTTATCCAGCATAACGAGAATCGGACAGTGGCCGTGGTCGAAAAGTTTATCGGGATGAGACATATGTCGAATTTTTTTAAGATGTGGGGTCTTCTCGTTTTTGGAGCTGCGGTGATGGGAGGAATCGAATTGGGGACGAAGGGGGGATGCGATCTGGGAGGGATTATTTCTGTTGGGATGGGCATGTTACGAAATGTGGGACGGAAGTTGAAGAATATTAGGTCTTCGAGTGTTTCAGTAATTGTCATAGTGACTGCGATTATAACGTTTTGTATAATTTATGCTGTTATCAGTTAGGGTTCGTCCATATATTACGTCATTTCAACATGCGAGGATAAGGACAATTTCCTATCATTTCCATGTCATCTGTACTACATGGATATATGCGCTCTTAAAAATAATTGTTCCCATTTTGAAAAGTAAAATTTTAAATTAGTGAATTCACTATGAAACCAGTTTTGAAACTTCTGACTAACTTAAATTGTAAAAGCAAGTAAAAGTAACTTAAATTGAAAAAGGGTAAAATTTACACTTATGCAAGTTTACTGGCATTATCAAAAATTTTATTTTATTTATGGACTCATTTTACCATAATCAATAATCCTAATTTACATAACAAGTAAAGTAGATAAGCTCCAAGTCGTATTAAATAGAACAGTCGAAATGTATTGTGAATAACTTAACTAAACAAAATATTATGCAGAAATTCATAGTAAATAGGTCGAAGTCGAAATTTTGAAAATTTATAAATCTTTGTAAGAATGAATAACAATTAAGGAATTTTTAAAAATTAGAAATTTACCAATAAATATCGAATAAACAATATATAGGATAATAAATTAATTAAGTGTACATGCCGCAAAGAGCCGATTTGTATTTTTCTTGTCCATCCAAATATGAGCAGAAGGCATCCGTAGCTTTGTCCAGAGCGAAGCAAACGTCATCCATGGCCTTGCCCGTTGTCAGATCGTCAAATTTGCCACATATTTGGGTGACCTCCACTTCGAAATCAAGCAGATCGTACAAACTCAAATTTTTCCGAGTAAAATCGTTCCCTGTCCCTTTTTGGGATGTCGAGCCGCCTAACTTCGTTATAATTTTCTGAAACGCCATGGAAGGAATTTTTTCGGAAATCCTGGCAAACACTTGCCGTATTTGGGTTCCGTTGGGAGGAGTGATTTCATAATGACGAGAGTTGTGCAGGCCTGGAAGTATAAAAAAGTACGAAAATATTAGAAAAGTTGCTCAAAATCATGCGAAAAACCTGGCAAGCGTACTCACGACAATCACGCATTTAGCAAATTTCCGAAGCTCAAAAAATTGCAAATTTCGTAAATTTACTTATAAAAACACCATTCATATCTTATTTCCATTTAGTGTAACTTATCTTGCTAATAATGATGAGGATGTGAAATAATCTTGCAAAAACATGTTAAATTGGTTGATAAATTTGCAAAAAAATCTATGATTTTCCAGCAAAACTTTTGCCAAGTCTCGCAAATTATGCGAAGCAATGCCAAATTTGCGAACAGTAGCGTGAGTACGGTCAGAGTAAAAGTTTGCAGAATTTTTACATCGGAAAATTTAAAAATTTGCACAAACCTCTAAACAGGACTTGGACCTTGTCACTCATCTGGTCCGGTGACCCTGCCGCCGTCCCGATAAGGAGAACCTTTTCCCCTCGCATCATCTCAAAACTGTTCAAAATCTGCTCGTGTTCCTTCATTTCCCACGCCTTCCCAATCTTCGGATTCAACAATTGATCGATCCCAGGAACATACAAAACTGCTACTTTGTCCTCACCGGGATTAAGCACGTGATTGAAGATGGCCGCAATATATATTTTTACCACACCAAGCCCCACGCCAAGAGGGAGAATTTCCATTTTCGCCGCGATAACCGAGCTGAATCCGGGGGACGAAAAGAGAGATTGTCGATCACTTTAAGCTGGAAATTTACAATAAAAAATCATAAGTTTTTGTTAAGGGTATTCATGAATCCTTCGTATTCTTCGTATCGCAAAATAAGTTACGATTTTACGAAGCTCGACCCCTTCTTTTTTATTCGTAAACTAAATACGATACTAAATACAATTGTGCATATTTTTTTCGAAAATGTGCCAACTTTTTCGTAAATTTTTGACTCACCTGTTTCGCATCACTTCCCCAAATTAAGAAAGTATTAAGCACTCCGCCTCCGCCAGATTTCGGAGAAGATTTCACAATTCCAGTCCCACTCTCATCAGGCTTGATAAAGTACGCTAAACGGGCCGTAATCTCGTCCACGTCATCCTTCAAAGCGGCCGCGGCACTGGCGGGGATTGGCTTATCGGAGATAACCGCATTTCCAAAGTGACTTGTCCCGCTTGGAGGGACAGCCTTCACGGCGCTGTACCACTCCTGCTTTTGAACGATCAATCCATCAAACTTCGACTTCGGTCCTTCCACTTCCGGTCCCTTTTCCGCATTTTTTTCTGGCAGGGGCAGGGGACAATTCTTTGCCGCAATATGTCGCTTCATCGCGAAGACGAAGGCTTGGCGACAAACTTGCTCCAAATCGGCGCCTGTATAACCGCCCGTCATTTCGGAAAGTTCATCCAGAAAGGTTTCGTCAAGCTTTGATTTTATGTCCCAATTGGCCGTGTGAATCTGCATGATTGATTTTCGTCCGTCCTTCTTTGGGGCTTGGAATGCAATGGATTTGTCGAATCGGCCGGGACGACGGAGTGCAGGATCGAGACTGGTGAGACGATTGGTCGCTGCGATGACGAAGACTTCTCCGCGCGGAAGGTTATCCATCAGTCCGAGCATTGTGGTGACGACGCCGTTGTAGAATTTGAAGTTTGAGGCTGGAAAGAGTTAATGTTAAGGGCAAAATTTTATTCAGAGTTAGATCACCTCATCGTTAAATCAGCGCAATTTTAATCATTTTCTAACTTTGGGAATTTAATTAAAATTTCTGGACTGTTTGAATGTTTCAAAAATATCAAATTTCATCCGAATTAAACCACTCACCACTATTTTCATCCCTCGCACTGCACAGACCATCAATCTCATCCATAAAAATAATCGCCGGCTTGTTCGCCTCCGCATTGGCGAAAATCGATCTCAACTTGGCCTCCGTTTTCCCCACGTATTTCGCAAAACAATCCGTCCCCTTGTGATAAAAGAAGGAAAACTTCTTCCCGCCCTGTAGTCGACTTAATTCTGCCGCCAACGTCTTTCCCAGCAACGTCTTCCCCGTTCCGGGCGGCCCGTGGAAAATAAATCCCCGCACGGGTTCAACTTCCCACCCGAGTTCTTTCAACTTGTCCTTATTCCTCAGCGGGGTGATTATGTTCTCCGTCAAGACCTGAATTTGCGCCGCGAGCCCGCCAATTTTTGAAAAACTTAGCCCCTCCATGGACGCGTCAGAGTGGGGCATTGCTGCATTAAAATCTGAACAATTTGACGTTTCCGCCACCGGCGTGGTGGAAACGTCAAATGGCGTCTTAAGTTCGACGAAAGCCTTGAATCCCGCCTGCCAGTCGGACACCGAGGGGAATTTGGGCGCCGTTGGGGGACATTTGCAACAACTGCAGGAGGAAGAAGAACCTTGAATCTGAGTGTTGATCGCGGTTTGATAAACTTCTTGGCAAAGGATTTCAATGTGGTCACGTTTTAACAGTTTTCCAGCCATGGCCAGGAGTTCAGAAACTTTGGTTAGAATTTCGTCTCTGGTTTCCAGGGAGGTTTCGGAAACATCCAGGTTTCCGTCCAGGTTTCCGTGAGCATCTTGAGGCAGCCGAGGATCCCTTTGGGCGTAATGGTGGTGGGGAATTGGAGGAATTTGGTGAAACGATGGACATCATTGAGGGATTGGAAGGTTCTCGTGGGGGCGGCGATGGTGGCGATGACGAGCACTTCGCCGGGGATCAAGGTGTCCATCCGTTCCCCGAGTTTGGCGACGAGTTCGTGATTTGTGACTAGAAATTTAGAAAAGAAACAATTATTTTCAGAAAAGTGTTCAAAAATTTAATTGTTGAGATTAAAAAATGTTTTTGAAGTTACGGAAATTTTCAACATTTACTCAAGTACGTGGTTCAACTAAATATTTAAGGAGATCAATTAGAATCAATTATATAATTAATGAGGCAATTCACGCAGGCCTTGGTAACATTGAGAACTCTAAGTTCTGTAAACTTGCAAACTTTTTAAAAAAATTGCTAATATTTCTAAGGAAAATTAGCTAACGAACTTTTTGTAAACTTGCTCAGATGAAGTCTTATAAGTTTGGTGAGTTGTTCTACAAAATTACCAAGCATTGCGTGAATTGTCGCACTTAAATTAGTGACACAAACAAGTGTTTATACTTACAAAATTAAAGCATATTGCAAATTAAGCTGTTATATGTATACAAATTCCTGCTTGATTCGTTATTGATACACATAAATTGGATAACTACTTATCTGTCCATCCACTTACAAATATCGTGCCTGCAATAGCTTCCAAACTGATCCAAATTCTCGATAAATATGATCGACGGCTGGAACTTTGTCGCCGCGGAGAAGAGCCAGTCGACGAAAACTTCTGCTCCCCCGTCACCCGAATATTTTGAAAACACGTCGACCTTCCATCTTCTAAAAATTCTAAGGGGTTTCGCCCCATCCCCGAATTCTTTGCCTAATTCCGTCGCAAGGGCTTTGACGAGCAGGAGAGCTTGACAATTTATGTCGCCACCGTGGAAATATATTCCTTTGGGGAGGGAAATATTTCCAGTTTTGTACAGTTCGCGACACTTGATGGGATTGATGACGTTCTTGCGGAGAAAGTCGATCTGGTTGTTGAGGTCGTAGTTTTGGAGGGAAGGGGAGGAGAAGTCGGGGGGAGGTTGTGTGGAGATTCCGTGGCGTCCGTTGGCGACGACATGGACTTCGTGACTTTTGATGAATTCTTCTTCCTCTTTTTCCTTCTTTTCGGCCTCTGCTTTCGGGTCGTCCCCCTTCGCTTCGGTGGAATCGGTTTTGCTGCTTTTTGTATCGGTGGGGGCAACTTTTGTGGTTTTCGTGTCGGCCGTGGTAGTGGGAGTGGTTGTCGGGGTGTCACTTGTATTTGTGGATGTAGATGTCGACGTCGCCACGGTGGGAGTCGTTTTGTCGACACTTCCCTCTCCAATTTCGCCAGAAATTAATGTTGGTGGTGGTAATCCAAACGTTTCCTCAAACTTTACAAGATCGCCAAAATTGGTGCAGCTTTTGCGACGCACTTCATCCATCGTGGGAGCTGAAACTGGAGGGATTTGCTCAGGAGGTTTCGTTCCCAGGTTGAGTTTCTTACGTGGGGGAGGAGTAGTTTCCAAATCGTCCCCCGTGCCCACCCCCATTTCGCAGTATTTCCTCTTCCCTCCAGATTTCTCGCCGGATTCGGATTTCTTGTCGACGGAGAAGAAGACTTTTTTGAAAAGTTGGAAAACGTAGGAAGCCATGATGAAATGAAGGCAGAAATTGGGTCACAGAAATTTACTGAAAAGAGAGAGGAAATACGCAAATTTCAATAGTATAGGATCAATTACTGAGTCAACCACACCTCGAGAACATTGTGTAGCATCATAAAATGTTTCGAAATTGTTGGAAATTTTTAGAAAAAGGTGAAAAAAAACTTACCGAAATTCTGACTTGTGTCCGCGTGGTGTGCCTGCTGCTGGAAGAGTGACGAAGGGAAAAACGATTTTTATCTCGAGAGCGGACGGGGGGCAAGATGAAACTGTGTCTTTGCTTAAATCCATGTAAAAATAAAAGTTGCTTTTCTATTTATATTATCTACGTGATAATTTGTAATTGATAAGGTCAAAGGTATTGAATTATTAGTAGTTAGCGTACCAACGTTAACCCTTCGCATATGTCGGATATCTCGTACATTGAGCATATTTAGCAGCAGAACTTAAGAAATTTGCGAGATTTCGCAAAAATTTTGCTGGAAATTGATAGGATTTTTTTTCGCAAGTTTACCCAGCAAGTGGGGACGCTTTAAAGTATTTCGAAAACTCACCCATGCAGGGAAAGAAATTCCAGAATGCCATGGAAATAAGATCAACATTGGTATTTAATAAGTAGATTTGCGAGATTTGCGACCTATTTTGCGATTCCCTTAACCAGCCAAATTTTTTGAGCTTGAAAATGTTACAAGTATGCATGTACTCAGGAGAATTTTCCCGGCTAGTCACCTAATTTACATATTCTGAGATATTAGTGAAGTTAATTAATTGGTCATGGAAACCCTGTGTCGCCAAGAATGGGCATAGTGAGATTTATGCAAATGAGATGAAAATATGCATTTTTATGTATGCATTTGTGCTTAGGCACCCGTGTATAAATAAATACCTACGTCTGAGCATAAGTAAACAACATTTAAATGTATGTATGTACCTATCTTTTGTTAACAAGTAGTCATATCATCTTATGGAATAAGTTGTAAAAATCTTCTGGTCAGCCTCAAGTTAAATCATTAAAATTCTTGTCATGCTAACCATGAACGTTTTCCTCCAATGGTTTAGAGTTAAGCATTTATTACGTAACAAAATCGCAGGGAAAATATACCAAGTTTTGTTACCACGCCCAAGAGTTATTTTATTAGGTTGGTATAGTAATAGAGCAAGTCCTAGAGCAAGTTTCTACTTCATGTGGTATGTATTTACATATTTGAGTATGGAAGTACATACATAGGGAGCGTCCATAAATCACGTGATCGATTTTTGGACAATTTTGACCCCCACCCCCCCTTGGTGACCGTTGGCGATAATTTCGCTACCCCCCCCCCCCCACCAGTCACGTGACAGATGATGCTCAAATTAAATCATGTTGTCCGGAAGAACAATATTATTCCAGTGTTTCTTAATCATTAATTAGAGCTACACACATGTGTAAATAACTATGTAATAAGCCAGTCAGACATAAGAATTTTAAGTCGAAGCAAGTTTCTAAATATGCAAAATGAAAATCAAATCTATATAACGTGTGTGAGGTATGCCAAGAGAATTTATATATAACTCTCATGACATTTATTGGCATATACAAAACTTTACTCATGTCACGTGACATCTGACCGTCTACCCACCCCCCCCCCCTCGTGATAATTGGTGACAAATTTCAGACCCCTCCGCCCCTCTATTCGATCACGTGATTTATGGACGCTCCCATATGCATCTGCACATCCAAGTATTTATCGATATCAATGACTAGATAGTTAATATGACCGTGTATATTAAGAGTTACATATGTACATACATAAGTCAATTTATTTATATTTATTTACCAGCATACTGACAAACACAAAATGGTTAAACATTCAGTTGGTGAATATCCAGGATCGAAACGAATCCATCAGCTTCTTCGACCTTGCTTGATTAAAATCTTCTTTAAATATTTCTCAATAAAATTTCCCTTGAAATGGCCCACCCCACATTTTTCGAACGTTTAGTTATGCACATTTGCAGATATTACGTTTCCGCTGTCTTTATACCTCTACGATCTCTTGTGCTACCTTTCTTATACTTTATAGAGTTCATTTGTGCAAAATTTAAAGTAACCTATTCGCCTGAATTACATGCAAATAAAGTGGAGCATGTCCAGAGTCAGGTGAATAATTAAATATTTTTCAAAATTTCCATAAATTTCATTAGCAATTCTGATTATGTAAAAAAAATTACAGATTATGGACTGGAACAAGGCTGGGAGGCGAAACAAATTATGCACGGCCAGACCCGGGTGGGTATCCATGTCGTTGACCCGTTTGCCCGTCTACAAGGATGCCATGACCGGGATAGACTTGTCCAGGCTGGATGACCTCGTCTCAATCGATAAAGAAGCAATGGTCAATTAAATGATGAAATTTTAGTCCAAAATCCGAATAAAAATGCATATTTTTTCGTCATTTTAACAGACCATAACCGTCGAGCCCTTAATGAAAATGGGCCAATTGACGAGAATATTGGGATCAAAGGGGTACACAATCCTGGTCGTGCCGGAGCTTAAGTTTCTCACGGTGGGAGGACTGATTTGTGGGGCTGGGTTGGAAACTTCGTCGCACAAGTATGGATTCTTTCACAATACTTGCACTTCATACGAGGTTGTTCTCTCGTCAGGGGAGGTTGTAAAGTGCAGTAAGGTATGTACGTATGCAGACTTTTTAGACTTTTTATCTGGTATTAAAATAATAGCAAGAAGTATTTATCAAAGTGGTATTGATCAGTAATCAGGGTATGCTACCCATTGTGGTTTTGGTGGGTTTTGGGGTAGAGCAATATACCCACGGATAGTCTTGGTTCTCGGATTTTATAAAGTATAATAACAGAGCTTTACTAACAATTCCACAATTTAATAAGTTATTACAATAGAATTAATAAGCAGCTTTGCGTTTATGCTACACGTCACCGTCACGTCCTCCTCCAAATTCGATTGTTTGATTGGCTGATCGAAATTATCACTACGACAATTAAAAATTGTAACCAATCAAAAAATCGGATTTGGAGGAGGACGTGACGGTGACGTGTAGCATAAACACCACTTTTGTTGCGAAATTGCTGAAAACCCAGATTGTTTTCCCAACTTAAGAAGTACATGAGACTCTGACTCATCTTACCCAAAAAAAAACCGACTACCCCCTACTACCCTGACTACCCGCAAAACCCAGATGAAACCCCTGGGTATGGGTTTTCAATAACAAAACAATGGAGTTTTCCTTACCCTGTCAGTAATATGTATCTGTACTCGGTTTTAAAATTTCTTGTTGATTTCATTATTTACCAAACAATTACCGCTGAAGCTGATGCACAGTGTAATGTTTAACTTTTAATTTACCAGGACGAAAATTCGGATATGTTCTATGCCATTCCGGGATCCTATGGGACCCTCGGATTCCTAACTGCTGCCACCATTAAGATTATGAAGGCGGAAAAGTAGTTTAACATTTTACAGTTATTGTTTCGTAATGTTTCAAAAAAATATAAATTTCCAGATACGTGAAACTTTCCTACATCCCGGTCAACTCGTTGGATGAAGCGACTAAACGAGTCACAGAAGAATCTCTTAAGACACCCGGACCCGATTTTGTTGAAGGAATCATGTATTCCTTGGATAAAGGGGTTATCATGGTGGGAACTTTGACATCAAAATCCGAACCAGGAAAGGCAAGTGTTTTTTAAGCGGGATTATTTAACTCTAAATTTTACCCTTAAACTTCAATTCCACAGGTAAACCCCGTTTCGGCCGGCTACAAGAAATCTTTCTACAAACACGTCCAAAGTTTCTTAACTGACAATCAGTCAACTAATCTACCAATATCTCAAATTGCCCCCAACACGGAATTCATCCCCCTCCGAGATTATTATCACCGCCATTCCTACGCCACCTTCTGGACTTGCCATACATACGTTCCATATATTGATGTGCCCCTGTTTCGCTACATTTTCGGATGGGCGCAAGTTGAAGACAACTACGCGTATAAAATTATTCCGCGCTATTTTCGACGAATCTTCGAGATAAATCTTGTCATACAAGACTTAATCGTGCCGATTGATAAGATGAAGATGGCGCTGGAGTTCTTTCACGAAGAAGTTAAGGTAAACACATGCACTCTCAATAATTTTATGATGTGATTGTTACCCACCAAGTTACTATACAATTCTACCGCTTCGGTAATAATTTATCCCGGGAGGGTAACATCTATATGGAGGCTAAATCCGGCTGGCCCCATAATACCAACGCTCTGATAGATAATAAATATATTACCAACCCCAGAGGCAACTTCTTACCCTCACTAGACAACTTGTTACTATATTGTTACCACGTGGTAAGATTGCATAGTATTTACATATGTACCTCCGCCGGTAACAATCGCATCAAATAATTATTGTGTGTGTAAGCCACATAATGGTCAATAAATATTTGAGTTGATAACACAACCCGCGGAATTTAAGTTTACCCTGTATGGCTTTGCCCCGCCAAGGTACCAAACGAACCGGTATATTTTAAATTTGACGGGAACGCGGACAAGATGTACATGGACATCGGTCTTTATGGTTACTCTGGGAAGCCGGATGATTACGAGGTTGTAAAATCCAACAAAGCCTTGGAACAATTTTGTCTGGAAAATGATTGGTAACTTTTGCTAAATCTTAAGAAACTTATTCATGAAAATTTGTACGTACATATGTATAAAAAATTCTACCCTAATGTAAATTGTCACTGGCGTAGTATCAAAGGGGCATATGCGGACTTATGGTTAAGCCGAAATGAACATGATCAAATGTTCGATCCAACATTGTACAACAAAGTAAGAGCACAGCTCAACTGTTCGGATGCGTTTCCAGACATTTACGACAAAATCTGTCAGGCAGGGAGGAAATGATTGAGATATACAGAGTTGTGTACAGGTTATCATATGTAAGGATTGATTCATAAATCGTGGCACGATTTTAAAAGGCGTTCATTACTAAACAATAAGTTGAAATGTTAACAACTTTGTTAATAATTGTTCCAAATGCGATGCACAACATTGACCAAAATCACTTTGGTCGCGGCGACCCTCTATAAGAAATTTCTCACAGGTTTTTCCAGGCCTGTTGATTTTTGCTTTTCCTGACTTTCTCCCAACAATCTTCAGGTTTGACTCATGATGAGTCGAATTCAAAGCAGGATTTTCACCACTTTCGGTCGTCATGGATGTTCTCTTTCGCATCAAGCCTAACATCTTTCAATCCCACTTGTTTGGAGAACATTGTTGGCATGTTCCAATTTTGCCAGAAACCAAATTTTTTTATCGTTGAGGTGGTCGGTAATAACTCAACCGTAATGGCAATTGGCTTCATCCGGCCAAAATCTGACTGGGTCACCTGATGACCATTTATGTAAGGAATTAATCGGCGTTTGATACATTTTGATAAATAAAGACATGGGGTCATGGTCCAATCCATAATTGAGGGCTTTGAAATTGCTCCATTTTCGTCCAATGCTAGCCAAATCTGTCCGTTTTTGCGAATTTGGCTTTGGGAAATACATTAACCTCATATTTCACATCCTAACGACTTGTAGCAATAAAACATTGCTCGGTGCAAACTTTTCATAGCGTTATTGTGATGTATGCTTCGTCACAACTGGCAAGTATTTTGGATTACACTTTTTTGCAAATTTAGTTGCATCCCATTTTGGTTCTTAATTTTTCCTCTTTAATGTAACTTGAGGCCTTAGTTTTCAAAATGTTGTAATCCTCTATCATTCTGCTTTAAATCGGCGAAAAGTTGGTTAAGATATCTTTACCCGTTTGGATGCTACGTTTTCTAACGTCAATGGCGTTCCCTCAAAATTATAGGCACTGCAATGATGACTTTGGATGTGGTCTGCCACACCAGGTGATGAATAATTTTTTTGAACTCGGCTGATTTTCTTGAAGCATACATTGACATGTAATGACAATTTGAGGTATTTGGAATATTTTCATTTTTGAGGTGGTGGTGCATCTTTTTCTCGTCCAATTTCGGTGCGTTTTTGTAAAAGTGCACCAAGAGATTTGGTTGGACTTGTTTCTCTTTTTGTCTGACGGTTCTTGTTTATTTATCAGCCTTTTTGAACTAAAACCCTAATACTACATCGGTTGGGCTATCATATGAAACAATTCATACACAAGAATTCCAATCTTTGTTAAAGCTAGAGCTAAAGACAAAACTGTGCCACGATTTATGAATCAACCCTTAGATGCTTAAAAATTCGCCAAATTCAGTGAATTTCAGTGTTTAACAGGTTTTACCTAATACCAAAATGTATTACGGATATGTCTACCAAATTAGAGAAATTCAAGATGCACGGGGTGATTTAAATAGTATGTCATATATTCCAAGGCATAGACTAATGCTTACTCTTTTACAACTTAAAAGGTTAAAATCTCGCTGAAAATATGAATGTATCTGCAGACAATAAGTGAACAGTAAAAATGTTCTGGTCAAGCCTCAGGCCAAATCCTTAAAATTCTCGCAACGCTCGCACAGTAACCATAAAATATTTTCATTCAAGACAATTCTTATTTGTCATAGAGGAAAAGATTGAACCGAAAGATTTTAAAATGCTGAAACCAAAGTTGGTTTGAACCTATTTATTTCATAACAAGATTTGCAGCGAACTTACGAGAAGTTGCATTTCCATTTTTCCATGCATGTTACCAAACCATGCCCGAGTTGAATTAAATTGACGTTTTACAGAAAACAGGTTAGGGTCACCTGGGAATCCAGAAGTAAATAAGGTTTTCCTGCATGTGTTGTATTAATGTATTTACATTTCTACACATACATACTCAAATTCATATTTACAAATCTATAATAAGGAAATGTGGAGTTGCATACATAAATATGTATACATATGTATGTACATTAACATATATTTACATACATAAATATGTATATATTTTTCCATCTTTGCATAATTACATTCAAGGACGAATGCCAACACACACCACCTAAAATTCATTTTAAGAAGGTGCAGCGTCGTCGAAACTAATCAGTCCGTATCACCTTGGTGGACTTTTTGGTTGCATATTCCTCACTAAAATTTCCCTTGAAATGGCCCACCCCACATTTTTGGAGCGCTTAATCATCCACATTGCCAGATATTACGTTTCAGCAGTCGTTGCACCGATACGAGCTCTGGTATTCCCTTTCTTATATTTCATAGAATTTACCTGTGCAAAACTTAAACCAATAAATTCGCCTGAATTGCACGCAAAAAAAGTTGAGCATGTTCAAAGTCAGGTAATTATACAAATACCTTAAACAATTTTAATAATTTACACACTAAACAACTTTCAAAATTATAATTTTATTTTCAAACCTCGCTATATTATTTTAAAGATTAACGCATGGAACGAAGGTGGGAGGCGTACAAAATTATGCACGGCGAGACCCGGGTGGGTAAGCATGTCGTTGAGAATGCCCGTTTACAAGGATACCATGACCGGGATAGATTTATCCAGGCTGGATGACATTGTCAAGATCGATGAAAAAGCAATGGTCAATTAATTGAGGACATTTTATTCAAAATCCGAATGCATATTGTTTTTGTCATTTTAACAGACCATAACTGTCGAACCGTTAATGAAGATGGGTCAATTGACGAGATTACTGGGATCAAAGGGGTACACGATCCCGGTCAGGGTATTCCGACCCAGGGTTTTAATGGGTTGGGTTTTTTGGGTTTTAATGGGTTGTTAATGAGTAAAACCCAACGGGTTTTACCATGTTAAATGGGTTTTATTCGGGTTTTAATGGGTTTTATTAGGGTTTTAATGGGTTTTAACTGTGTTTTAGATTATAACTATATTCTAAAAGTTGAGCACATCTGTTATACGTTAGACGAAGGTATTTGACGGCAGCTAAACAGTTTAGTTTATTAGTACCATAAGTTTTGAAAACCAGGAATAAATCAGCAAATGCATACCTCCCCTTACCACCACAGGTTTCAAGTGATACAAAAAATTAATTTCGGAAAGGAGAATGTGTAACTGGTCATACATAATTTAATACTTTTTGCGACCATAATTAATACGTTTTTCCCAAATACTTCTTCTTTTCTCGATAGTATCGAGTCAATACACTATTTCACTGGTACGAATCAATTTAAAAAAATATTATAGTATTTTGTTTAAATTTGCAAAGTTTTTTAAAATTTAAAATTTCAAAGCGATCTTAATTATCACCTCTGGAAAAATCGAGTACTTGTGGACAGCGAAATACTTTATGATAAGCAAAAGATGTATATCTGTAAAAAGCACTTATTATACTTTCGACCATAATACGTGATTCCGTTCAATTCCGTTGTTCATAAGTACTTGATTCTTTCCAGAATTGATACTGCACATTAAGATCGTTTTGAAACACTCTTTGAAACAATAAATTTTAAAAACATTTAAACAACTTGGATTTCATTATAATGAGAGGAAGTATTCCGTAAAAAGGTAATACTTATGGTCGCATAAGTATTAAACTATGATCAGTTAAATAGGATCCCTTCACAACGGATACAAATTCTAACTTGGACCACGAGGATTTGCATATAACTAGAATTGGATCGCAATGTTGTGAAAATTTCTTGTTCAGTGTATTACTTATGTAAAACCTAATAAAACCCAATAAAACCCATAAAACCCATTAAAACCCAAAAACCCATTAAAACCCATTAAAACCCCTGGGTCGTTACTTTTTGATTAAAACCCTGGGTTTTTCCGAACCCTGATCCCGGTCGTGCCGGAGTTTAAATTTCTCACAGTGGGAGGACCGATTTGTGGGGCTGGGTTGGAAACTTCATCACACAAATATGGATTTTTCCACAACACGTGCGTTTCATACGAGATTGTTCGCTCGTCAGGCGAGGTTGTAGAGTGCAACAAGGTATGTCATTGCATACATGTGACTCACGTCACGTGAGACTTTTACCTCTTTTTACATTCAAATATGGCATACATACATATGTGTGAATTTCATTTCGGTAACGGACAGAAAATTGCAAAGTATAAAATGTACCAAATTAGATAGTGTTTTCTCCTCTTAAATAGATGAAAACAACTCTGCCAAACCTGAACATTAAGAGATTCCTTTTGAAGATTCCTTTTGAAAATTTCGCATGATAATTAAATTTGTGATCGATTGGCACTGATCTGGTCAAAATGGGATAGCATTCAGACTTATTAGTTATTAACATAACCAGCAAATATTTTCAGGTCATGTAAAGTTTAACTTTTCATTTGGCAGGATGAAAATTCAGATTTATTTTACGCCATTCCGGGTTCTTATGGTACCCTTGGATTCCTAACTGCTGCCACCATTAAGATCATGAAAGCTGAGAAGTAGATACATTTACATTTAATTGAAACATAATAATTGATTCTTCTTAGCATCTCAAAAAATATAAATTCCCAGATACGTGAAAATTTCCTACATCCCGGTCAACTCATTGGATGAAGCGACTAAACGGATTACAGAAGAATCTCTTAAGACACCCCGGCCCGACTTTGTTGAAGGGATCATGTATTCCTTGGATAAAGGGGTTATCATGTTGGGAACTTTGACATCAAAATCCGAACCAGGAAAGGTACATTGGCGGGTTTATTCAAATTTTCCCACTATTTAAAATTCTATACATTAGGTAAACTCGGTTGCTGCCTGGTACAAGAAATCCTTCTACAAACACGTCCAAACGTTCTTAACTGAAAGTCAAACAATATCTCAACCTGCCCCTAATAAAACGGAATATATCCCACTCCGAGATTATTATCATCGCCATTCCTACGCCAAGTTCTGGATTGGTCCGACATGCCTTCCATACATTGATGTTCCTGTGTTTCGCTACATTTTCGGATGGGCTGCGGTTGAAGACAGTTACACGTATAAACTTATACCGCGTTATATAAGACGAATTTTTGAGGTAAATCTTGTCCTACAAGACTTTATCGTGCCAATTGAAAAGATGAAGATGGCGCTGCAGTTCTTTCACGATCAAGTTGAGGTAAATTACCAATGTACATAATGACAAGCTATCACAATATATCATTGATAACCATACCTATTCAAAAATTTTGTCTTCATCCAAAATTCAGTCATTCCGATTTCTCAATTTTCTATCAAGTTCATTCAAACTCATTTCATTTCACTTCATCCGATGAAGTTCATCGGAATTCATTTCGTACTTCGCCCCATGCATAGTGTGAAAAATGAGTCCTTCAATTCATTCATTCATCTGAAATTACGTAATCTTTCAGTCATTTTCATTCAAATTCATTTTTATTCACTATTATTATCAGTCAAATGAATGAAACTGAACAAGTATGAGTATAACAATTATAATTGATAGCACAACCCGCATGATTTAGGTTTATCCGGTATGGCTTTGCCCCGTCAAGGCAATAAATGAGCCGGGATATATTAAATCCGAAGGGAACGCGGACAAAATGTACATGGATATTGGGCTTTATGGTTACTCTGGAAAGCCGGATCAGTACGAGGTTGTCAAGTCGAACAAAGCCTTGGAACAATTTTGTCTGGAAAATGATTGGTAATTTCTTAAAAAAGTGGTCATGAAAATGTGTTTTGAAAATTGCATTCTCAAATTGGCAATGTTGTAGTATGAAGGGGGCATATGCAGACACGTGGTTGACCAGGGACGAATTTGGCCAAATGTTTGACCCAACGTTGTACAATAAAGTGAGAGCAGAGCTCAATTGTGTACACGCATTCCCAGACATTTACGACAAAATATGTCAAGCGGGGAGAAAATGATTGAAGCAGCACAAATGTCTTGTCACAATTTATACGACACATTTCTGCAACTGGAAACTTAATACTATGCAGCAGGCCATTTGCGACAAAATCTCTGACATGGGTGACCAGATATTGGTTGAGCTATGTAGTTACCTAACCACAAAATATAAAATTTTAAAATTCGAATGTTAATTTTTAATCATAAACAACTCTATACGTAATTGCAAGTAGTGTTTATCACCATGGCCGGACATCAAATATTGTCGTTACGAGCAAACATATGTACATAAAATTGTATTGGTTACATTTGACGAGTGAACAAACCTCCGAAATTTAAATAGAACAATTATTAAGTAAACAGCTACCAAAGAGCCTTTACATACGCATATATGTATGTGTGCTCTGACATAATTGTACAACAGGATATGCTGCGTATCATATGCCTAAACACACAATAGTTCATGCAAAATAATTCATGAAAACTTATGTCACGTTTGTAGTACATGATAAAGAGAACCAATAGATGTGTACGCATAATGGCATTCTCTGTACATATAAGGAAAAATATTGGCATAAATTGCTGTCAAATATGTATTAAAAAAACTAGGCGACCAATTCCATGACAAATGCTTGTGAATCTGCATCCCAAAAATGAAAATTATTAAACCCTTTATAAGATATATGTTTTGTCCAATCCTTAACACAAGTCGAGGAATCTGAACACATAGTTACATACATAATTATAGTGATCATGCGATCCACGTGTCAATCAAAAATAAATTACTACCCAATACACATATAAATACATATGTATATGCAGGGTTCCTAGGTTTCAGAAATGTAATCCTATTAAGTGGTTTTTCTGTTGCAGCTCACAGGAAAGAATACATCACAAGTTAATTACTTATTATCCCTTCTCGCATAAATGTACATATGTATGAACACATAGATGAATATTTGGCTAAGGATGACATACATACGGGTATGTATGTAAATACATGTAATAATTCAGATTGCATGCTGTATTGGTAGGGACCTGTTACTTAAAGAGAGCTTAAGTCCACGGTCCTTTGTAGATAAATTATCTAGTAAAATCCGTAAATTTTATACACTAGTTTTATCCGATTTTTCCAAAATAAAGAGACGCCCTTGCCTAAACTTATGAAAATTTGAGAGGTATTTTCCTCCTAAAAGTTTGCGAGTTCTACCCATTGTACAAGGTTGCCAAGGACAGCGAGAATATCGGATTACAGAAATATGTATCATGTCGAAATAAATGTGTATTCGGTTTGGTGTCAGGTTCCACGTACTCGATAACTTTTGAAGGAAAACTAGTTTTTTTTGTCCTGGCCCGTGAATCAACTAACATTTACCATTTGTTTGTGGTCAACCAGTCCCACTTTTTTTTATTATGGAAAACTCATTAATATTGGTTACTTGTATGTCTGCAATAAATCCATCCAGTCGTCTCTCCACATCGATCCTGGACACCTCACGCAGCCAAGCGGGTGAGTTAATTAAGTAGTTGATTGGTCCCTAGATTAAGTAATTTACCAACAAAATAAATAATTCAAGTTTGAAAATTTACTGAGGCAATTCACGCAGTCACTGGTAACTTTATAAAGTGGTTAAGTTTTATAAAATACTTTTCAAAGTTTTACAAAATAAAGAGACGCCCTTGATTTAACTTTTAAAAAATTTGTAAGCTAATTTGCGATAGAAATATTTGTAAAATTTTGAAGTTTTTTAACGTACGGATTTGGCAATGATTCCAAGGACTGTGCGAACTCCCTTCTTAAATCTGTGCTTCGTTATTTTGTGTACACAGTTTACAAAGTGACAAATAATGGCACGAAATGATTTATATTTTCAGACACACATTTACCTCGGAAAAATGGTTAAAATTCTCTTCATCTTAACGAATCAAGGCCAGTTGGGCGCCTCTGGCCACGCCACGGGGTGGTATCTTCCCGAGGTCGCGCATCCCTACAACATCCTGGTCGAAAAAGGTCATGAAATTGTCATCGCATCGCCAAAAGGTGGCCCCACTCCACTCGATCCCGACAGCAAGGTGGCTTTCGCAAATGACCCGGAATGCATAAAATTCCTTGCTAATTCTAAAGCGATGTCGGACATGGAAAATTCACTGCTTGTGGCGAACATGAAATCGACCGATTTTGCGGCAGTTTTCTTCCCAGGCGGACACGGTACATAAATCGCGATGCTTTGTAACTTTGTAAAATAGGATTAACTTTTCTAAAAATGTGCAAAATTAAGATGGAAAATTTGCGAACATAGTTTTTCACGGATTATCTACTAATGGGAGTATAAATACTCGGTTATTTCCTGTACTATCTGGTTTAGACCGAATTTGCAAAAAATTATGACAGGAAATTTGCCAATATGTCTTTGCACGGATTACTTATGTTTGAAAGTCTGCATAGGTATTTATTTTATACCGATTTACAAACAATTTGCGAAAATTATATTTTTGCAACAAACATTTCTGCACAGATTGTTTATAAGCGTCTAATACTTATCTTTTACATACGAACAATTTGAAAAAAATTGTGCACTTTGCTAAATTACAAATACTCACGTGAAGCATATTCCCAAATATTTATTCAAATAATACTAATCATATTTCATTAGGTCCCATGTTTGACTTGGCCGACTGCGCCGCCGCACAGCAAATCGTGCGAGAAATTTACGAACGTGAAACCGGCATAGTTTCCGGAGTTTGTCATGGATCCATCGGTCTCGCAAATGTGAAGTTGTCCAACGGCGAATTTCTTGTCAAGGGACGTCGACTCACCGGGTTCTCGAACGCGGAAGAGACCGCCGTCGATGTGGCGAAATGGATGCCACTCTCGCTCGAGGATACGGTTAACGCGAACGGAGGGAATTTCATAACGGCGGAAAATTGGGCGGAAAATGTCATCGTGGATGGAAGAATTATCACGGGACAGAACCCCAGCTCCTCCGCGTTGGTTGGGAAAACGCTGAACGAAGCGTTGAGCAAGCTTTAATGATGGCAATAAATATGAAAATTAACATACTTTGCATGAATTGGTTAACTAAAATGTTGAAAATTTTAAAAAGCCCGTTAATAAAATTAGAAACACTGCTTAAATTGTATTCACAATTTTTTTGGTATCCTTAGTATCGTACGTAAAATAGTTTACGAATAAAAAGAAGGGGTCAAGCTTCGTAAAAATCGTAACCTTTGTTACGTAACCAATTTTTGACGACAAAATCTTACTACATACGCTTACAAAATCTCGTAACCGTCGTAACCTAACAATGTACGATACAAAGAATATTAAAAATACAAACGAAAAATGAATCCCCGCAATACTTCAATTTAATTGGTTAACTAAATATTTTAGACTTTCTTAAAGTTTGAATAATTTTGGCAATTCGTCTTATGTAAATTGTTTTATTGTACTGAATAAATTCAAAATTAAATAAATGAAAAAAAGTAAAAAACGTGTCTTCGTACATATGTTCATTTGCTCCGTGCACTCCAATTAAGTATTCTGACTTAATTGTTGAATATAATTAATGTCAACGTGAAACTTGCTCGAATTAATGTGTATGCGGATAATACGGTTTATTAACAGGTTTATATATTATGTACGTCGTTGACAGTATGCATACATACATATTTACATCCTACATTATCTTTCATATTTAGGTCGAAATCACCAAAATAAGATCATTAATTATAATTACTTAAGAATAAAAACAAGTTACATACGTAAATATTACGGGTAAGAGATCAGTCTTTAACTTACACCTGCATCCCCTTAATTTCCCTCCCTAGATAAGCGAACACATCCCCGCCTACATTTATAGCGAAGATTCTCCATATAAACAAAATTTTGTCCATCAATAATCCCGTCAATCAAGTTCAGAAATCTGACGAGATTTTCCTCGTCTCCAAAAATATCGAGGAGTGTCACCTTAACGAGGATTAAGTCTTGCAAGTCCTGATTAATCTTGTCGCACATCGAGTTTACCGCACCCTCTAAAGTTTCCCCCTTGTAGAGGACACGGAAAACGACTTCACCGTCCCCATAGCCGAAATCTTTAGTCACTCCGAGGATATCGTTAACCATCTGAATATTTGCGGACGCTATGGCGATCATGCAATTGAATGCGGGGTGACGTCTTATTTCGGAAGAGAGTTGAATCCCTGTGGCAAATGCGACCGTTTCAAAGGCCGCGCTGGCGCCGGAATTTCCAATCCGCCAGAAGTTGAAGGTTCCTTGGTTAAACCTTAAAATGTAAAAAAATAAAGTGTAAAATTAATTTAGGGAAAAAGTTTTTAATCGATTTGTCTATTCATTTTTAGACTTAGAGTACGATCGTGTGAAGTGTAACATTCGGATTTTGCTGAAATTTAGGAATTATGAAGATCAAGTAAATTCAAAAAGTATCTTCAGGAAATTTGTGCACGTATCAAAATATACTATGTCAAAATTGAGGTTTTTGTCAAGCAAGCTCGAGTTTGCTTCCTACATTTGGAAAAAATTTCCCATTTTTCAACTTTAATCTAAAATATCTTGCCAATCCTAGGCATCCTGCAATACGCCTCAAAAAACGTTGCTGCTACATATTGACTTAAAATTCATAATTTCAAAATTTCAAAAAAATCCGAGTCTTACACTTCCCACCATCTCATCCCAACTCACCTGTTGTCCACTTTGCTCACAGTGTACCATTGGTTGTACTCCAAATAACTTTGAAAAGTTTGAAAGAGAGGGATTATATCTATGTCATAACACTCTCCTGCAATTTCCTTCCCCACTTTCACGACCTCCCTCTCCAACTCGCACATTCTCCCGAATTCGGGATAGTCCTTCAATTCGTTGATATCTTTTTTTGGTTTTGGTACATCGTCCCCTTTAAGTATCCTTACATAAGTGTCATGAATATAGCGTATGATTCTGTAATCCGGCATTTTCCCACTTTTCTCACACCGGGTCCAATCCATTTCCATGGCATCGTCCAAAAACCACTGCCAGATGAAGAGACGAATCCCAAAATCCATTCCAAGGGAATCCAATTCCACATTTGGGATCCAATACTGCGCAAATTGGACCGCGGTGAGGATCATTGTTTTGATCGAGTACCGTTCAAACTGGGCATCCTGGAAGCCTAACGTGTTCGCAAGGTGGGTGTATTCTACCGCAATTTCGTCAATTTTTGCGGGATCGACTTCTTCCCGGAATACGTTCGGTTGAAGGCGGGTGAATCTTCCAAAAACGGATTTACTACCGAAGGAAAACGGAGGGAAATTCGAAGTCTACGGTTCCGTTTAGTTTGGTTGGTTGGTTGGTGAGAGGTTGGCTTCATTTCAAGAAATTTATGTGTAAATCGGAGTGGGTTTTCGTATAAGTGTTGTTTTTCATCTTTAAAGCTCTGCAACAGCAACATGCATGATTCAAAATAATTGTGTCTAAATTTCCCGGATTGGTAGTAGTTTGTTTGTTTGGCTCATTCTCTCTTTAGAAAAATGCTTTTGAAATTGTATACAGTCCATAGAAATTTATTAAAATACGTGGGTGATCCAATAAATATTTCCAAAAGGTATGTTCCGCACTATATCTGACCAAACTTTTGACTAAATAACAAACTCCAAATACATTTAAGACGCTGTGATTTTTTTCAGCTCTATCCGTTAAAAGGAACACTCGCAATGAATCATCAAAATTTACCTCGAAAATATGCCAAAATTTACGACTTGATTCAATTATCGTCCAAAAATTGTTTCCCCTTGATGTCTTCCTTTGACTTTCGAAACGAATAATTATCACTAAGAGTCATGTCTGGACTGCACGGGGGTTGGTTTATGACAGTGAAGCGATTTTCGTCTGCATCAGCCCTAGAAACTAGCGGCGTATTCGGTGGCGCGTTGTCGTCTAGAAAAAGGCCAACTCTTTATTTTCACCCCACGTTTCTCCTCAACCGCAGAATGCTGCTCCTTCGGGTTCCTGCATACGCGGCCCCATTTATGGTAGTATTTTTAGCAGTAAATTTTATAAGGAGGGGACCTTTGGTATCCTTGAAAATGGACATAATCCATTTTTTGGCAGATTTTGGCACTTTTCCTTTCATGGGTGGCGGCGACCCACCGTGCTTCCATAGCATGAATTATTGTTTGATCACCGGGTCATAATAGTAAACCCAAGTATCATATCCAGCTAAGACAGTATGAAGCAGGTGCCAGTTTTCCGTTGAAATGTCAAAATTTGCATTATAAAGGTCGACTCGATCCTGGTTTTGAGATGCTGAAAGCGATTTTGGTACCCAACGGAAGGAAGCCAATTTCATACCAAAGTCTTCAATTAACATGGAACAAGTCGTTGGTTTTGGAACACCCATCTCATCTGCTAAGTAGGACAGTTTCAATCGTGGAACTCTCATTATTGGTTCCTGTAGTTACTGGAGGTTTTCTGTGGAGGAAACGGATTTTGGGCGTCCTAGCAACGTCTTGTCCGAGACCTCTTTTCGCCATCATTTAAAATTATTGACCCGATTCATATTATGCTTTGTGTTGGGCAGCTTTCACTGTAAATTTTAAGCATACGATCATAAATCTGCGACACGGATTGCCCCTCCAGCATTAAAAATTAAATCACACTACGATATTTAATTTACAAATTTGACATTTTTTCCGTCGAGGTAAAGTTTGCTTATTTATTGTCAGTGTTAATGTTAACCTATATAACTGAAAAAAATCACAGCCTCCTAAATATATTTGAAGTTTGTTATTTCATCAAGATCTTGGTCAGAAACAGTGCGGAACATACCTTTTGAAAATATTTATTGGACGACCTACGTATATACAATTATGGTATTGTAATGATTTTATAAATCTGCGAAATCAAACTTTGCAAGTCTCACGCGGCTCAGATCTGAGATTCTCAAGTTTGATACACAATATGTATTACATAAATGAGTTGTGATACTATTTAAATATCTAACAAATTGTAAGAAGCTTTACAATTACACTTTACGTGCTTTTATATTTGTACATTTTTTGACATCTTTGTGTCCAACATGTGACGAAACTGATGGTATGTTTAGCGATGACAAAAAGTAGGAAAAACAAGGCGAATATAATAGCCGCATACGCGCCTATGACATCTACTGAGTGGTATTGAATTAGCGACAGGTTTCGCGCCGCTGACCGGAGGTGAGGAGCGCATGAAATAGTGCAGAATTATGTACAAAGTTATTATCATTAAGTTAGGCCTTATTTTAGTCGGTTTCTCAACATTATGTCGCATCACATACTCCACCCAGAAAAGCGCCCTCTCCAACGGATTATCGATCTGGTCACGGAAAATGGTTGATAAGCGTTTCACATTGTCACGATACCTATGGGGAAAAAATCGTTAAGGGATTATGTAGATCACAGAATTGTGAAAGCGCTTAAAATGAAATGATTTTATCAATTGTCATAATAATTTTTGTCTCTAAAGGGATCAAATATGGCAAATTAGTGGAAGAGAAGAGTGGTAAATACATATTTTCAGAAAATATTTTCGCAATACTTTGGACTTTTGGATTATAAGAAAGTTTAAGTAGGGTTGATAATACATGTTATGTATATATGATTATACATAAATAAGTGGTACACAGTGAGAGGAGACAGAGGAGAGTATTTATTGGAAGAGAGTTAAAGCAGGAGTGAGTACAGATTCATAACTAATTACATATACATATCTACGTAGGCATACATATACCTAACACTACCCTCTCACGAAAAAATTTTTCTCCTGAAAAATAGTCGGAAAGAGTGTGTAGGTTTGCAAACTAACAATTTCAGTAGTCACAATTTGAATTAGAAATTTTGATGGTTTACATATGAAAAATTCATGGAAAAATGAAAAATGAAATGACTCCGGAAAACAAACATTAACAAAGATTTTGCATGAATAACACATGGAACAATTTAATACACATATCGAATGACGTAGTAATTATGCAGGGCTGGAACTTGAGAAGATGGTATGGCTCGCAATCGGTGGTGGAATTGTGTCATCTCAGGCGTGGTGGTGGTGGTTGACTCATATAAAACTTGCAGATTGGGACAAAACGATGAACAGAGAAAAATACATTTTTGTGGTCGTGGTATGTGGTCCATCGGGACATCGGAGATACATAAATACGCAGACTTGTGAGGGTTTTCTCTGGGTGACCCATAACCGGACAACTCGAAGACGCAGGGTTTTGTGTGGGTGACCCATAACCGTAACTCGTTAAAAAAGGGGAACTATGTACAATGTGGATTTCCATACTTGAACACGCAAATAATATGTAGACGTTGCTCATTACAAACATTAATCTCAAGGCGTTATATTTCATTCTCAGCCTGGGAAAGTGGTGGCAACGCAGATCGAGCATAAAAGTTCAGCAGAATTTTGAGACAAGGTGAATCAGATTACATTTTTGCAACAAAATTTGATAAAGAATTGGGACAATTTTCCAGACGAAATGAATAAAAATGAGTTTTTTGCATATATTTTGCAGAAGTTTTGCAAATTTTGAACGAATTTTGATGAAAATTTTTCAGAAATTAAAAGGAATTTTTTACATTTCTTTTACGATTTTTTTACAATTTTTAAGGACAATTTTGCATATATTTTTTTGACGTGTTTAAAACAAATAACGGAATTTTGAATTTTGCATATTTGCTCGAATTATGAAATGTAAATTTTGGACTGGAGATTTGGAAATTTTAAGAATGGAGGAAGATTTTCAGGGTGGTTTAGAACCAATTTACAGACCTGATAGCATCCGGGAGGATAATCCAATTTACAGACCAGATGACGAAAATTCACAAAAAAAAGTTTCACAGGAAAATCACAGAGTTTACACAAGGTTTTGAGAAGAGAGATTTGGGAAGTTTCCCTATCGGAAGCAAAATGACAAGCTCTAAGGGGCGTTGGTCAAGCTGCTTAGTCGTCGGAAGAATTTTGAAAATTTTAAAATCCATTGTGAGTGGGAGGAGCGAAAGAAAGTACTCGACGATCCACGAATGTTATGTATATATGATTATACATAAATAAGTGGTACACAGTGAGAGGAGACAGAGGAGAGTATTTATTGGAAGAGAGTTAAAGCAGGAGTGAGTACAGATTCATAACTAATTACATATACATATCTACGTAGGCATACATATACCTAACATACATATGGAAAATTTTATGCAACCTGATTATACGCCCGCGTCTTATTTATTTATAACATGAATCCGATCCGAGCAGTCCGGTCAGACAATATCTGAACTCCCGGATCAAATCAATGTTTCAATAAACGCAACGGTCGAATAAAAATATGGTCCGATCCGATCCGAAATTCCCGGATCGGATCTATGTAATAACTCTAATGTTGACTCATAAACCGTGCGACTTGCATACTTTGAATTATTGATGACCTCATTTATCGATAAGCCTTTCTTCCGTCACATCCTTCCACTCGAGTCGGACGAGGAAACCTTGCCTCTCGGGGGGTTGGTCTCCGAAGAAGGGAATTTCGATAAGCGGCACCCCGTGGAAAATGGCTTCTTCAATCCCTCCCGCGCCACAATGCGTGATAAAGAGGCGAATTTTCGGATGTCCGAGGAGGTCCATCTGGGGAAGCCACTTGCTGAGAAAAACGTTCTTCGGCACGATAATTGGAACATCGTCTGATTCATATTTCCAAATCACTTTCTGCTTCAAACGAGCAAATACGTTGATGAGCATGGTCTTCTTTTGAGCAGACATCGCACTTGAGAGGACATATGTTCCGAGCGAAAATAGGATAAAACCGTCGTCCTCAAGATCTCCTCCGGAGGCGAGAAAGTTTTCAATCTCCTGGAAAAAAGACCCAGGGAATTTTACAATCCTTGCCAAACATTGTTGCGGGTTTGGTACATTTGTTTCACGACATAGCAAGAAATACGAGGTGGAAGAAACTACTAGAATTTCTAATAGTTTCCGAAATTTAAGTTCGGAAATTTGTATGTACCATCTAGCCCCAAGGAGGGAAGTACTTTCTTGCACCTCGGATTTCTTGCAAATCAGAATACCTGCGAGAAACTTTATTCTTGCGATTATTTTGTGAACGTGAGTGCTTGACGCCAAAATTAAATTACCATTGACAACGGTTTGCCCTTTCGGGAATGTATCCCTCCGACGTCCACCACATTTGGGAGGTTCGGTCTCGGTGGACGCGTGGAAAAGTGGCCATTCGATAAAATCAGGGAAGCCTTGCTCAGCACTTCCGCCACGGAGGAGGCATCCCGCCCAAGCTTCTCCTTGTACACGGCCTCCATCGCGGGAAGGTAGTAAAACCTGCGAATTGTGTTACCCACGAGTTGTAAACATGCATGTTCACATTCATTCATTTAATGATGAATGAATAAATTATTCATTCAATATTCTAAATTTCAATGAATATTGAATGAATATTTTATTCTGATTTTTGAATAAATGAATGTTGAGTGAATATCTATTCAATTCGTGTGAATGAATAATGAATGAATTTTTTTTTCATCATTCATTTTTAACTTAATGCTTAATACATAGGAAAAGTTGCGAATTTCATCCAATACTGTGAATTTTGAATAAAATTAATAATGAATACATGTTGAATAATTAATCAATATATTTTTTAGAAATTATGAATGAGTGAATAAGGAATGCATATTTTTCAAGGCTTTGAATGAATGAACTTGAATGAATAAATATTTTTTGAACATGTATCGTTGTAAATTACATAGAGACGAGTTTGGCTTAAAATGGTCATCACTTGTGTAACATTTAATTTTGAAATATTTAGTACCCCCAGATAAATTTTGAGTTCTATGGAATAAATTCCAAGAAATAAAAAAATCGAAGTATTCATAATTTTTTGGCCAGCTTGTCTACTGCTCCTTAACAGTTAAAATAATAAAAAGTTATAATTTTTACATTTATCTAAAACTTGTACTAATTTTACTATAAGTCCAAAAATAGAATGTTTAAAAATTCAATTTTAAGCCCAATTCATCTTCACCCAGGGTATTCCGACCCAGGGTTTTATTGGGTTGGGTTTTTTGGGTTTTAATGGGTTTTAATGGGTTGTTAACGAATAAAACCCAACGGGTTTTACCATGTTAAATGGGTTTTATTTGGGTTTTAATGGGTTTTATTCGGGTTTTAATGGGTTTTAACTGTGTTTCAGGTTAAAACTATATTCTAAAAGCTGGAAACAGCTGTCGTACGTTAGACGAACTTGTTTCATGGCAGCTAAGCAGTTTATTTGATTAATACTGTAAGTTTTAAAAACCAGGAATAAATCAGCGAGTGCCATTACAAGTTTCAAGTGACAAAAATATTTAAAAATAATAATTTCGGAACGAGGTATGTTTAACTGAGCATACATAATTTAATTACATTTAATTTACATTTTGCTGTCATAATTAATACTTTTTCCCGAATACTTCCTCTCATCTCAGCGAATAAATTAAACAAAATACTGTAGTATTTTTTATAAAGTTTTTTAAAATGTTTCAAGGCGATCTTAATTATCACCTCTGGAAAAATCGAGTACTTATGGACAGCGAAGTACTTTATTATGAGCAAAAGAAGTGTGTCTGTAAAAAGCGCTTATTATATTCTCGATCATAATACATACGTACTTTCATTGTTCATAAGTACTCGATTTTTTCCAGAATTGATAATACACGTTAAGATCGCATTGAAATATTAAATTTTAAAAACTTTTAAACAACTTGGATTTCATTATGATGAGAGGAAGTATTCGAGAAAAAGGTAATATATATTCTCATAAAGTATTAAACTATGATCAGTTAAACAGGACTATTTCGAAACGGATACAAATTCTAACATGGACAAGTAGGATTTGCATATTAATTGAAATTGGATTCCAATAGTAGTGAAAACTGTTGTTCAATGTATTACTTATGTAAAACCCAATAAAACCCAATAAAACCCATTAAAACCCAAAAAACCCATTAAAACCCATTAAAACCCCTGGGTCGTTACTTTTTGATTAAAACCCTGGGTTTTTCCGAACCCTGTCTTCACCTCATCGGAAACATACCTGCGAACCGCTTCGTGTAGATGATTCGCCCCAAAATTCACCAACCTTTGCGAGAAGGTCATCCCGTCGCTGAAATCGAGGTGAGGATTCGACACGAATGAGCTGGGGTGGTTTCCCCCGACATAATTCAGAATTCTGTAATCCGCATTAATAACCGAGAAGACGACGAGTGGGGGTGGAAGATTCGAATTTGTCCCATTTTTAGTCAAAATTTTGTCCACGAAGCCAAGGGCACACTCATTATAGACGTACTGGAGAAGGACGAGGTCGAAGTCTTGCTCGTACAAGGCCTCGATTTCGGGGCGGTCGTACATTTCCCGGCAACGTTTCGGAACACTGCGCGCCAATATTGGGATCAAGTTGATGGCCTCGTTCCGCTCCAACATGGCGAAGGGGTCGATCGGATTTTCCTTAAGGATCGCGTCCCCATCGAGGCTAATAATTTGGTGGATGGCGGGATTCTTCGTGAGCCCTTGAGATGGTGAGATTAACGTGACCTGAGCAATATTCAGGGCAAAAATTATGTCCAAAATATCACAAAATTTGTAGAATTTTTTGCCAGAGGTACATACATATGTACATACTCCCCAGTTTTATGACAAACCGCTTCATTTGTGTAAATTAACAAGTCCAAGATTTGTCACTCTGCGTAAAAATGTGCAAATTATATGTTGAAAGTAGGGAATTACCTCTATTCCTATATAGCACCTCTTAGTATAAGGTGTATCGCAGAGTATGTGTAAAAAAAATATGTATCACAAAAAGTATCGAAAAATCTGACTACTCAGCAGTCGCACAAATAAGTCCCTAAACTTAAAAAAAACGCAGAAAATCGCAGAAAAAGTCCGTAAGAATGGGAGAGAGAGAGCGGACTACAAATAGTACACTTCCTCCAGTTCCTTTCCTGGAGGAAGAGTACCCAGAATCGAAGCAACGTTCCCACGTTGCGCGGCGAGGGAAACCCGCTGGCGCAAAAAGTTCACGGCGTTGGCCTGCCCAGTTGTGGCGGCGATCCGCTGACCAACTTGGAGGATGAAGGCAAGTCCTTCCTGCCCTCATACTCCTGTGGTCTCCATGGCAACGGGGACAAAGATGTATCGGTCCATGAGGAAAGCGTACCTCTTCCGGTCCTCTGCCTTGCTGGCGGCAGCGCCCTGATGGCGCACGGTGTCGGGGAGGTAGCTGGGGGCGAATGTGTCCGCGCAGGTGAAGTCCCAGACAAGGGACCTCCCCCGAGACCAAGGGACAAGGGTCAACCCGTCGGGGCGCTTGCCGTCCGTGGTGGAGCACCCCGCGGGCTCCCTGATGCAGGGTACTTCGCCAGACCGGAGGGCTCTGGCGATGACGTCGTTGGCGGCCTCATGGCGGGACCAACGACCCTTACTTCGGCGGCCGAATTATATGTAGTTCACTAGCTACGTATTTTAGATAGGTAAGGTTATGTAGAGATTTCCTGATATCTATTTTGCGAGGACTGGAATTCTCTAAAAAAAATCATAGCGATAATTTTTTTCACACTAATTTCTGTCAAATTTTTAAAAACGCCATAAATAACAAAACAAGTTGCAACAGCTTCTGGGCGCGGATGAGTAATTTTTTTGTGGTTAGATAATAAATGTACACCGTGTATGTATGTAAATGAGTATAATCTCACGTTGTCTCCCCTTCTCGCCAATTCCTCCAGGAGGGGGAGGTACGTAATCACGTGACTTTTTCCTCCGACAAACTCCACGGATAAAATATTCCTGCCATCTACATTCCCTAATTGTAGTGTCCACCCGAAAAGAAGGAGAAATCGCAGCGTCACAGTTGCACCATTGCCATTTTTAAAACTTTGCATCCTGACAACTTTATGAATATGGAGAGAAATTGATCGCCCTCCGGTGAGAGGACTGACTCCATGTGTGGACATATTTATATAAATGAAAATAAAAATATTTATTTATATAAATAATAAATCCCTCAATAAATAAGAATGCATGTATGCATGTAAACATTTTTTCAAAAGTTCTGACACCAAATTGGCTTCAATAGTGGAAAATTTATTTAACTTAAAAAACTGAGGAAAAACTTGATTATTTCAAATTGTCGAATCCTCATGTAAACATGTATTTCCTTCTAATCTCATAATCCTGCATCGCATTATAAACTTGTTATCGTCTAATAAAGATGACTAAAAAATAGGACCAGAAGCAATTCACTATGTAGTTTAGAATTAGAATATAAACTTCCCCATGTATGTAGAAAACATGTCATTGAACGTTCTAAAAAACGATGAACAAGAGTGTGCCAAGGTTAACAAATGTGTTGAAAAACAAGTCCAAATCATGAATACGTCAAACTTCAAAAGTTTCCGCAATTCCGGAAAGCTTTTCCCATTCGGAGAAACAATTAGCGAGATATTTCGATGCTTCATCCGTGTTCGAAAAATATTCTTCGAATCCGCTCACTCCCAGATATCCGGTTCCGTTGTAGGTGTGGAATCGAGTATCGTACGCGAGGCCTGAAAATGCAGATTTACATATATGTATATGAACAATATATTCATTATTTCTTCGTATCCTTAGTATCGTAAAATAGATAGTTTACCAAGAAAAAACAAGGGTCAAGCTTCGTAAAAATCGTAACCTTAGTAACGCGATTTTGCCGATTTTTATATTCACAAAATCTTACTCCGCTTGCAAAATCTCGTAATTTATTTTGCGATAGGAGACTTACGAAGGAATCGTGAATACTCTCAATATTTATTTCTATGTAAAAATTACCCCGATTTTGCGTTCGAGCCATGTTAACCCCGATAAACGGGATGGAAACTTGGTCTCCGTACAAGTAATATTTTTCTGGCGGTCCACAAATATTATTCACCATTACGGGCGTCAGCATGGGTGGATTTTTCCAGAGTTGTCGCACTATTGGGAGTGGTAGGGCGTATACCATTTTGTAAATAGAGGCCGCAAAAATTGAGACACGTGTCGAGCGGAATTTTAGAATTCGGCCGGAAATCAATTTCAATCTCTTGATCGAGTCAGGTTCACCGATTGGGAGTAGGATTGATCCTGCAGTGCTGTTAATAAGGATGAATAGGTTCATTATTCGGAGCGTATGAGGGGACATTCCTAAATTATGTAACATTTAAAGGGGAGGGTGCAGATTTCGAAATTCCGTTACAAACCGTTTCCGATGGGGGAGGGGGGGTTACAGGAGGGGGGGTTACAGTTGCGTAACAAGTGTTACGCAACTTTTTTTTATTTTTCTAAAAATTTGAACTATTTAACATGACTCACAAATGATTCGTTAATTTCATCGGATGATTCGGAAGTGGTTAAATGAATCCCGCTTTGATTTCGTCATCAAATTTAAGCCCCTGATCGAGATAAGCCTGTCTTATCGCGAATGCCACCCCGGCGAGAAGAAGGGACAAGTGATCCACGCCGTAAGCGTCTTTAACCCTTTTAAAACCCGACATTGGCATGGACTCCATCGTTTTGGTGACTATTTCCGGAATTTCGAGCAACCTCTTGTCTAGAATTGCATAAATTTTGGTTTATAAAAATTTTCGTTGGGTTGTAAATGTCTGAAGTTGCGGCGGAAGTTGGGGGTCATATGGGGATGCTAGCATTGTGAGATAGGAGCAGGGGCTTATCAACAAGGGAAAATATCCCCATGTCCCCCCCCGCTTCCGCCGCCACTGAATATCTGCATATCATACTTGGTGGCGGGATGCGGTTCACGGTGCTGGAATTATTTTTTACGAAGGAAACAAAGAAATACGGCATTTTTAGCAGACGCAAAACTTGCGATGAAATGCTGTCAAAATCATTTTGCATTGATTTGGTAACGGGAATGTCCATTTCGAGCAAATTGGCGGACATTTTTAAGATCGAGATCCCATCGCCGAGCACGTGACTGCACCTAAAAATTAGCAGCGTTTGTCCATGTGCTCTCTCCGTGGTGACATTTTCCATAATTAAGATTTCCCAGAGTGGTTTATCCTTGACCCAGAGGCGTTCAGGGGGCACGTGGTTGATCAATTTATTAAATTCTTCCGGATTTGTTATGTTATGTTGTGAAAATTCGGAGGCTAAATTGAGTAAGAAGTGGAGTATTTGCAAATTTTTGGTTTAGGATAAAATTTTCGTAGTTACATATTATGTAGAATAGAAACATATTTACATACATACAGAACTAGCGTTTTTTACGCTATAACGATTTCGATGGAATATATGTATGACGCCTCATTTTGCTACATGTACGATTTGACTTGTGAAAATTTGGTGTAATATGCATCACTGTAAATAATTTCTAAGAATTATTTTGAACGTTTATTTAAACGTTTTACGTTTTGAACGTGTAACCAAAGGCACTCAGTTTGGTAGTTATTTTTTGAATAACAAGCGAACTTTGCGATATAAATAATTACGTTTTACATTTTTACAAACCTGGTAAGAACTTTATTTGGTCGTTGACATCGAATTTGTCACATTTTCCCCAAAAGGGAGCGTCCATAAATCACGTGATCGATTAGACGGGGGGAGGGGGTCTGAAATTTGTCACCAATTATCACAGGGGGGGGGTGTAGATGGTCAGATGTCACGTGACATGAGTAAAGTTTTTAACGTTTGTATATGCCAATAAATGTCATGGTCATGAGAGTTATATAAATTCTCCTGGCATACCACACGCACGTTATATAGATTTGATTTTCATTTTGCATATGTAAAAACTTGCTTCGACTTAAAATTCTTATGTCTGACTGGCGTACTAAATGGTTATTTACACATTTGTGGAGCTCAAATTTGATTAATGATTTAAAATACGCTGGAATAATATTGTTATTCCGGACAACATGATGTAATTTGATCATCATCATCTGCTGTCACGTGACCGGTGGGGGGGGGTAGCAAAATTATCACCAACGGTCACCAAGGGGGGGGAGGGGGTCAAAATTGTCCAAAAATCGATCACGTGATTTATGGACGCTCCCAAAGTAGAATCCCCACCATTCCACAAGTTTACACTGAAGTTCCGGGTATAAAAATTGAGACCCGCTCTTTTTATGCAACACTTTAGTCTCGAAATCATCCTTGAATCGGGACAGGTCAATTTTCTCCCGGTCAATTTCCACGATGGCGACCATTGTTATTGCGTTCCGAGTGAACGTGAGGTTCCCATCTGATAAGTACATACATTAATTTATTCAAAAATTTACGAGTTCACGTCAAGTTTGTAACTTTGTACATAACTGCGTTAAGTTTGTAAGTTTATGTACTTTCGAGTTGAGTTTAAAAATTTAAAAATTTAAAAATTTACAATAAAACATTACGTAGGCGTGACCTGATTTCAAATCAAAATCCAAATGCAAATATCATGCAAACACTCGAAATGCATATGTACATTTTTACGAAATTTGCAAAATTAGCCAAGTTATTTGCGAGACGCTATCAAAAACTTTTGCTTATGAAGTAAATTTTTTCCGCAAAAGTTCGTAAGCTTAAAAATCTTATCCAGTTACAAACAAAGGTTACAAACGTTGACATGTTTATTGCAGCAATTAAATATGTAAATAACCGAGTAAAGTACTTCCTCCCGTCATCATTTGGACGAGTGTCCCCGTCTAAATATTTTTGCCAGGAGTGCAACAAATGATCTTAACAGGAAGAAACACAATAATACGGGGGGCACAATGGGAGTATAATGAGGAAGATGATTAAGGTCGAAATTAATATGTGAAAATTAAACATTTTGGAGAATTTGTGTGTTTCTTTGTAAATTCATATTATGGGTTGTCAATATGTTGTAATCGTTCTGCTGGAATTATTACTTGTGCACGTGGGGAGGGCCACGTTACAAGAAATACATATCTGAATTTTCTGCAATCTTTCCCATTTTTGCCAGACGCTAGCACGTGTATTTTTGCAGTGTTGTTTATTAATGCAAGTGCTTTTATGCTTATAGGTGGTAATGATATGTACATACATAGTGGCCATTTATTTTCTGACCACCCTAATAAAGTTGCTGAGCCCCTTCTGGTTTTTGTGTTATCGGAACTGATTTGTCCCCCCCCCACAACCGTTGTGTTCACGAGTGGAAAAAATTATACTTTTGTTTCGAAAAGTGAGAAAGCATGTCACTAAAACCACTCCCACTTTCAAGCGACACACAGCATAACATCAACCCAACTTGATGCCAAATGGGGTCTGGGTGGATTGACTGAGGTTTTCCTTCTCTTCTTTATGGCAAGGTTTTCCCTCAGTCCATCAAGTTGGGTCCCTTTACATTTTTATCTCTTCAAAACGTGACCCAATATCCAACGCCACAAACATGACAACTATTTTTATGAAATTCAAACTAATTTCAACTACTAAATCATGTAACAAATTTCCCATCTTCGTGTAAATGTCTTGATAATGAATGGCATTCGAAATATTGACAAAATAAAACAAAACTTTTTCTTCGATTTTTCCACTAAACTCCGTGTAATCCAATTATTAAAAATTAGTACATAAATACGTCTAAGCTTATTTGGATATAAAAAATCACTCTGAACATGACACGCGTGTATTTATTTGTACCTATGTACATATTCAGCTATGCATGAACATATTTGCAAAGGCGATTAATTTAATCAATAAGTCCATACTTACTCTATGTATGTATATTCCTATGGGTATGTCTTTAAACATGTATCGATTTGCATATGTATGTATGTATGTATACTAGTATGCATTGTATTAAATGTTACACTTTTTTGCACTTTCTTTAAGTAAGTTACTTATGAAGTTGGTTTGTGGTACAAGCATGGATTTGTAAGCATAATACAGGCAACCTAAATACATACATTGTACGTAAATATGTACATGCATAAAGGTACATACATATATACCCACATACTCATCATCAGTGAAGCATTTTGCGTGTTGTCTTTTGATGCTGTACATATGTTGAATAAACCCGTTTGTAACCAAAATATGCACCACATGCACTATGATAATGGCAATGTCATTTTTACCAAAAGTCTGCCCGGACAATGTAATCTAATAAAAGAGAGAGTGGTCGTCTCACTTCTGTACATACATGACTACATATGTGTGACTTACATACATACATATTACCTTTGGTAAATGTGCATGTGGTTATGTTGAGCAAGCTAAAATTGGAATGCATGATCCGTATGTACATATGCAAATTTGTATGTATGTATGAAATCATGTAAAAGGAGTTTAGAGCAGAAGCCAACTTACTTTGCATGGTAGTAAAAATCAGCCGGTATTTTAGTTCATGATTATTTCAGTCATGAAAGTTAGCTCCTTAGAAATATTATTAATGGTAGTCAGCTATAATTGGAATGTAGATACATAATTAACAAGTATTTCAATATGTAAAAGTGATAGTGCAGATTTCGGGTATGGTTTTCACTATGGGCGACGATTTCTTCGCCGGGTGGGTTGCAGGTACATACATAAAACACGATAAATTAATGTATGAATTTTATTTATTATGTAGACATGGCAGATTTCAGATAGATTCATGTTAAATACATATGTACAGATTTCTGAGCATGCATTTGTGATGTAAAACTCATGCGTATTTATGCAATTCTAAATTTTGAGAAAATTATGTCACAATAAAAAATGTTCAGGTATGACTGGGGTATGCGCTGGACACCCGTTGGACACAATAAAAGTGTTGCAGCAAGTCAACTCCACCGGAATGATGGACACTGTAAGACGACTTTACCGTCAAGGTGGTATTCGGCGTAAGTAAAAATTGATATTCTTTAAAAAATGCGGGGTTAACTCCGTCATTTAAATGTACTTTATTTTCAAGAAAATCCCGGTTTTACAAGTTTTTTATTAAGAATACATTCAAATATTTATTTTTCGGTACTAAAGCTGCCACCGATTCGTATCAAAATTATACTGGTCCGTAAAAGTTGTCTAGCGATACGGTATAACTTTAATACCGAGATATTACTATAAGTACACAGTATTACATTACTTATCAAAACCATTTTGGTAGAGTCGTATATGAAGTTTATAAGAATATCGCTTGGTATTATTTTAATACTGGATTTCTAAGAGTGTAACATATGAATATTGTTTATCTAGCATTTTTTAGCGGGATGACACCCCCACTGGTCACAACGGGTCTCTTAAACTCCATATTTTTCGGGGTTTACGGCTACTCAATACAATTCTTTACAACACGTGGTGACCCACCCACCTTCTACATGACACACTTTTTAGCCGGTTGCATCGCCGGAACGGCTCAACTTCTTGTAGGCTGTCCAGTCGACGTGGTCAAGATTCAGATGCAGACGAATTGTCGAAAACATTCCAGCGAACTGAGAGGAGTTTGGAATTGCATCGCAAATATTTTAAAATTAAGTGGAATTTTCGGTTTGTACAAAGGACTGATCAGCCACGCTTTGAGGTACATTTTTCAAAATTTATGGGGGAGGGCCTAATTAATTAATTAATGCGCATGCTTGTAACCCAATAAGCTACAAGTTTTGCATGCAATTATTTCGGGAAGTCATGAAAATTTGGTAGATTTTTTTATATTCTTTGCGTTCACAAATTTACGGGGTTACAAACGTCCGGGTGAATTGCGGCGTTATTGAGACAATTCACGCCAACCTTGATAACATTTTTGTAGACTTGCTCTTAATTTTGTAAAAGTTTGTAAAATTATTTAGCAAAACTCCCGGATTTTGCAAGATACCAATGATTGTGCGAATTATCGCAATATTTATGTATTTAGGATAAAAGGCCGTGGAATAGAGTGCATCCTTTATGTTTTCTAGAGAATGCTTGGATTACGATTAGTTTATCGATTATTGTCGATTCCATACCAATCTATGTATACAAATCTATTCGTTTAAATATCAGGGTTGGGCAAAATACATGAGTTTCAAAATACAAAATACAAAATGAAAATACATTAGTGTGAACCTTCAAAATACAATTACAAAATACAAAATACTCGAATCTCATCAAAATACAAAATACAAAATACTTTTGCCCAAAATCGTCGAAACCTAAAAATACAAAATACAAAATACGTATTTAAAATACATTTCAAAATACAAAATACAAATGCCAGATTTGACTCTGAAAATTCAAGTCAAGCTCAAATTTCAAAAGTTTTGCTAACTTATTTTATTTCACAGCGGTAGTTGGAATTTAGTAATTATGTTTCTTAGCATGTGTGAGGTCATGTCTTATCTAAAAAAAATTATATGAAGATGATAAGCCCGCTATACTTTCAATCTAACTAATTTTTATCTTTCTCGCACTACAAAGTGTCGCTAATGAAGCAAAAATAATTTTTAATAACCATCCTAACCCTTGAGAGAAATTTGAAAATAAACAAATTAATCATCTGCATAAATATAAAATATTTTATGTAGTTTTCTGGCACAGCCATATGAGTCCAAAAACTGAAATAATCCTGTATAGCTGAAATCTTAAATGTTAGGACTGGTTTGTAATAGATATACATATATGTATTGCATGGACCAACTCTTGTTCCTCTCATGAGTTCGTCTCATATTTTCCAAATGTATTTTGTAAAGTATTTTTGTATTTAAAATACATTGACCGACCGAAAAACTAGAAAATACAAAATACAAAATACAAAATACCCGGCTAGCTTCAAAATACAAAATACAAAATACTACTTTGTATTTTGTAATTTGTATTTTGTATTTCAAATAGTATTTTGGCCAACCCTGTTAAATATTTACCCAAGTAAATCTTGATTTCCATAATTTTTTTCCAGGGACATTCCATCCTCTGGAGTTTATTTCGTTGTGTATGAATATTCCAAGATTACATTAGCCAGTAAGAGAAACGAGTCAAATCGCGTACATTTTGTCGCTGGAGGGTTAGCAGGTTCGACTTAATTATCAAATTTAAAGGGGATTTTCATATGGTATTGTTTGTATCGTAAAATAGTTTATGCACGAAGAAAAATGCAAAACCGCAACCTTAGTGACGCGATTTGTGCTGACAAAATCTTACTCCTCTCACAAAATCTTGTAACCGTCATAACTTATTTTACGATACAAAGAATACAAAGGAATGCCCCTCATTAATTACTTCCAGCATAATCTATATTATCGTAGGCGTCTTATCATGGTGGTCGACGTTGCCGCTGGACGTTATTAAGTCTCGTCTGCAAGCAGACTCTGGATTACGCCACAAGTCCGAAGGAATCCTACACGTGGTATCTCAAATCTTAAAGAAGGATGGACTAGCAGGACTTTTTCATGGATTTTGGCCCCTCTCATTCAGAGCTTTCGTCGTGAATGGGGTCATATTCTTGGTTTATGAACATTTCTAGAAAATAAAAATAAAAATATATAAATCAGTGCCGATCTCATTGGTTTAAGCGATGGTTATATATCATGATGCACCTTAAACGTTATTTATGTAGTGCTCCATTTTTGTTTTATCTGATTATATACGTAGATGTTTCGTCACAAACGGAAAATAAGTCAAAAACTCGTTTACCAACCTAAGTTATTAAAAAATTGCAATACTTTCACGCTAGAAGAGCTTTTATAGTCGAAATATTCCAACGGAACGAGTGAGATAAGTGAGCTTAAAAGAGAATCGGGATGACTGACCTTTGAATGAAATACATTTTTCTAGGGGGATGCCCATAAATATGCATTACGTGTAAAAGTGTTACGTTATTTATTTACAGAACCCAAAATAATAAAAAGTAAATGCTCAGTTTATTGCAATCTCAGCAAACTAAATGTCAAATTGTTTCTTATCCGTGAAAGCAAGCTGTTGAATATCTTCCGGCGTTAGGGGCCCACCTTAACAAAAAGTACAGAAATCGATAATTAACATTGCCCAATTCCGGCAATTTCGTATTTGTTTAGAGAAAAAGTAGAAAATTTTCTTAGCAAAAAAGAATCGCATGACTATGTACTCACTGATCTGATACCAATCCGTGTTTCCAGCATCTTTTCTTGCAGATTTGATCGCATTCTGCGTTTTGGGTCAAAATTATATGTAATTCATTATATTTATAATTTGAATAAACATGTATGTGTATTTAGATATTCAAACAAACCTTGAGGGCCCAGATAACGCTAACACTTAGGCACAACGGTGACTCTCCAGTTGCTGTAAAATTACCAGTAGATCAAAAATAAATATGTAAAGTTACAAATAATATTATTCCAATTCCTAAATACGTAAATACACCCCCTTCTAACGACAGTGAAAAAGAAGCTGTGCCAAACAAATAAAGTGCAAAATTTGTAGATTATGCAAAACCGTTTATTTAGCAGTATGCAAATAATCAACAGAGAAAACATTTACCCTTGGATCTTAAGACTCCTAAAGGCTTGGGCCTATTTTTGATCATCGTAATCCTGAAATCCTCCGGTATATCTTTAACGAATGGTGGTTTGTATCCCTACGAGAAAGAAGGAAGAAATACTTAAAATCAAGATTAATACAAACTTGATTCTGAACATGGTTTTCAATTAAAATTGGTAGTTTGTGACGATAACGACAAAATGACTTCACCCAAGTATTCTTGGTGAATTTCTTGGTGAATTTCTTGGAGAATTTCTCCAGTGTCCTGATCATACACGAGTTTCTCCGTTGTCCAAAGTCCCAGGCCTACAAATAAATTATGGATTAACCAGAAGAGAAAGGTATGAGCGTAAATATGTAACTGTAAAATGAGACTGGTCCTAATGCATACAAAAGGCGTTAGGACATGGTTTTGACGAATTCATACCTTAATTGCGGGATGGTTTTTAGTCGTAGAGATTTCTAACTTTTTTTATTTGAAAGCCCATGTCTCAAACTATAGGTAAGCATATCTGGCTTCCGATTTTGTGTACTCTGCGAAATGAGGCAAGGTCAAATTTGGAGAGGTGTCCTTTTTTAGTTTTCCAAACCAGTGTTCTTATAAAATGTCGTTGAGCGATATATTTTTTTCTGAGGTCCTGATGCAAAAATCGTCTTTGCGACTATTATCAATGGACTTAGCATGCTTTTCACTATATAAAACCACTTTTGCCTTATGCTTATCTTTTAAGTCCGTTTTGCAGTCTAATTTCATACTTGTCCTAATGGAATGCGCTCTTTAACGCAACTCTTCCACTTTTAAGGCCCCCACATTTTACGACTTTGATGCTAAAAATCCCTAACGTGGTTTTTATCCAAGGTACATATAGTATATTGCACTGTAAGTACTTTTGACACAATTTTGATAAGTGGTTATACCCCACGGACTGAGTTTTCATCAGACCTTATAAAATTTTTGGAAAAGTTCCCGTCGTTTTCGATGTCGAACTTCAGAAATAATTTAACTAACCAAAACGCAATAATTTTATTATTTTGGCACTTGTACCTTGTAGATAAAATAGTTCTGCAGTAGGGGACACAAAAAGATTATTAAAATTTATTTTCGAAACAATTTTACCATTAATTTTCCAAATAAGTTCACGAGTTTTTTAGGATTCCGCGACAGCTGATTAACTCGGGTCCTTCTCTAAAACTGTTTATACAAAATCTTGACTGTTTGTTTTAATATTACTTAGGACACTTCCAGCTTTACCCTCAATCTTCATTTGACCCAGTCTGTCCGTTTTCAAGGTCAGCAGGTCAATTTCCCGGTGCACGGTCCGATTTATCACTTTTCATGGAAAAGTATCAGCGACGATGGAGGCACAACGTTATGTAATTCATTGTGGATTCTTTTATTATTTCATGCAATGATTATCTAGGGTTGTAATATTAACAATCATCCACCTCTGACCTCTTGGGTTATCATGCTATATGAGTAATTCAGTTTGGAAAGTGTTTTTTTGGCTCCTTCCAACTCTGGGGGCACTGGAGGGGGCATTTTTGAAGCTATCGCCCTAAAATTTTAAACATATCTTTCTGAGAGTATGATCTTACAGCCTACAAAAAATCAGTTCAAAATTCAACTCCCCGCCAGAGATATTCATCCGCGAATTCGTCAAAACCATGTCCTAACGCCTTTTGTACCCATGACGAAGGCACCCTCTATTTGACCAATATCCACTTCTGGCGAAAGACTCAGACCCGCGTCTTGTGCCAGATCCACTCGAACGATCTGTGCACCATTTTTAAAACAAATATTTATTCGATAAATAAACAACGCATTGTTTTTCCTACTCATATTTGCATATTTATTACAGCATGGAATTTGCCCTATTTTTGAATAAATTCTATTCTGGGGCTTACCTTATATTCACCCGTGAGCACGTCAACGTCAACTTCAGTAACACAAACGGCCCAGACATCGTAACTTTTCAGTTCGTCACCAGGTTTGTCTCTGAATACAAATAATTGCAATTTCTGAAATTTGTAATATGCTTAGTAAGATGCAAAAAAATGAGGGCACAAACTTACTGATATTGAGCCGTAAGAAGGATATTTTGATTGTGACACGCTGTGACCACGTTCTCCCAGGTCGGGTCTTTTATTTCCTGTCGGAGGGGCTCCATTTTTTTCAATAAGATTTCACAAGCCTTCATCGCAGCCTAATGAAGAATTTAGAATTACACACGATTTCAATTCCTGTGAAATTTCTGCTCCACTTTTTAAGTCATAAATAGATATTATTACATATGTAAATATATTTATATATAAAAGCCTAGTACCCAGGACGGATTTTTCGAAATGAAAGGTTCCTCGTTTTTTATAAAATTACGCTTCCACCAAAATTACGTTAAGTGTACCAAAGGGGTGCGCTTCTTAAATAAATTGCTAATCTTGTTGAGGTTTGTTAATTCGACTTTTGCTGAAGAATCCGTCCCGAGTACCAGGCTTAAACTCACATGACACACCAGATCGCTACCCATAGAACTTCCAGTAAATCCACCATTTGGCGATACAAAACTATTCGTCGGCTTTATGCGAACTTTCTCCAGTGGAATGTTCAGAAATTTTGCAACGGTTTGAGCGCACTGGAGAAATACGTTTGTATAGTAAATTAGATTATGAATGTCTCAATTTAGCAGAATTTCTGTGATCTGGCACCTTCGTATTGATCCCTTGTCCCATTTCAATCCCTGCGAGAAAAATAATTATTTTACACATACAGAATTCTCAACTGTTATCAAAGCTGTTCACTTTCATTCATTTGACTGACTGATGATAATGAATTATATTTAGTAAATGAAAATGAATTTTCCGTCATTTCAGATGAATGACTGAATAAAGGGGTTGTTCACGCCTTTTATGTTTCACCCTAAGGTTTATTACATGGGGCGAAGTAATAAATGAAGTCCAATGAAGTGATATGAAATGAAATGAATTTGAAAGAAAATGGCTAAATATGAATGATAATCTTCAGTCAGAAAACGGGATGACTGAACTTCGAATGAAAAATATTGAACAGGTATGATTCGTAAATGTAGATTTTTAACTCATCTCCATGACTCACAGTCACGGAACCGTCCACCTAATCGGAAGTCGAATTAAGAAACCATACTTGCTACAAGATTGATTTATATGTTTACGGTAAAATTTTAATCTTACATGATAAACAGAAATAAAGACTGGAAACCGGACATTAAAGTCGAGATAATGCATCGGATATCTCATCGGCATTAAATGCATTCCACGTTTCCGGAACCTGTTTGTCTATTTATAGCACAACCACCAAGCAGAATTAAGCATACATAAGTAATTCAACAAACCTAATCTTAATAAGACAAGATACTTAAGTGGTGGCACCTTGTTAAAATTTTCGACAAACTTTTTTCTGACATCATAATCTGCAGAGGTTTTAAGATCCTCGATCATCTTACTGATGGGATTTTCCCCTTGGAAAGTTTCTCCAGGAAGGCCGAAGAGTGGGTCGCCCGCTTTGATAAAATTTGTCGCTCTTACTTCCATCGGGTCCTGAGATTAATGAGGTAACTTTTATGTGAAATTGGATTCTAGGTGAGAATCCTTTAGTGTTTCTTACATATTTACATACCTTCTTTAAGATATGAGCTATATGTTCGATAATCGCCTCGATAGATGCAATTCCTTGTGTGGTTCCTACAGAAGAGAAAAATCTTCTTAATATCTGATACCTGTTCACTTTCATTTATGTACATATGTGATTGATTATAATAACGAATCATTGTGAATGAAAACCATTTTTTTGAACAGGTATGGAATATAATATGTGTTTTTTTCACTGAGATTTACCAGTACCTGGCCCAGTAAGAAAATTTTGGATATTACTTAAATAATATGTTCGGGAAATCGTCCATAATATATGCTGGTTTCTGTAAGAGGATGGCAGACGTTCCAAAACAAAATACTCATCAAAAAATGTACCTTTCACGCACCTTTTATCCAAGTATTATTTACCGGAGTCAATTCCATAAAACGTACATATTATGTGCGTATTTTCCGGTCCATTTTATTTACATAAAATAATCGTTTCCGACCATGTATATTCGGTATTTATTAAAATTTTATGCAATAAAAATGGAAGGCAATTTTTTTTACTTTTACTTTTTAATTATTTTTATTTTATAAACTTGAAGTTAAAGCATGGGAATACAGTATAGCATAAATTTATCTACACTATCACCTGGAATTACAATACATTTTTTAGATAACTTATAAATATCAATTTCACAGGATGATGTAAATTGAGAATTTAAAAAACAAATTCCCAGCAAAGAACTACGAATTGGATATCCCTTAACATCAGTACAATTAAGATAAACTTTACAATTTACAACTGGCTTATTATCAACTACAAATATTTTATCTACTTTAACAAAACGACCATCTTCAGTAACAAAGTGATTATCACCATCCTTTATTCTAATACAAAATTTGTCAAGTTCAAACTTTTTAAATTCACCATTCTTCTTTGGCACATTTATTTTATGCTTAGATTTAATTGTAGAATAATGACTTGAGCTACAGTTATCATATTCTTGTACCCGTTTAACAACTTGCTCAAGCTGACGATTGTTGCCCCTAATTAATTTTTTCAAAAACTGTAAATAGCTTTCAAACTCAAAAGCGCTAACATTATCTAATTTTCCAAATTTTAATGCATCATCGGATAGATGTAACAATGAATGCACATTATAAACAATAACAGAACCTCCATAATATCTTTGTAAATCTTTAACAAATAATTCTATTAGCTCTCTTGCCGTATTATTCCAATTAATATTATTTGCGGAAGACGAGAGCAAAATATATATAGCAGTGTGAAATATGAGAAAATGGTTATAAAGATTGCTGGGAAGTATATTGCGTAAAGCTGCGGGGCCTACATATAAAAGAAACTGTCTGAATTCAGTAGCTTTAAATCTTTTTATGTCTTTTAAATCTCTAGGTTTTCTTGAAAATTCGCAAGGAAAAATCTTGGCAATTTTAGAAAAATTTTCTGAGATTATTTTAACTTTTGCTGTTGGAAGTCTAGTTTTTATGGGACCACTCAACCAAAGCAATAGAAGTTTTCTAGTAACACCTAAGCAAACTAAGTGCATATAATCCAAAACAACCTCTGACACTAAATCAATTTTAGTTTTAAGAAAGGGCGAGTCGCGCAAATGATGGTCGGAATCGATTTGTGAACGGAAGCTTAAGTCGGTACGTTTACTACCAGAAAAAGTCGGAAAAACTATTCTCTTTCCATCCCATTCACCTTCAACATCACATCTCTCACAACTACTCCTACCATTGTGAGGTTTAATTCCTTTAATAAAACTTCTTGCAGGAGCGTCAGCTATTATGCATTTAACACGGACAGAAAAATTTGTTGTCCTCATTAATATTCCACTAGTTTCTAGTTCAGTTAATTCCGTAATAAATTGGTTAAGAAATTCATCCAAGCTACTGGGCTTCCTGTCACCACAAAACAAGCCGGCAATTATTGGTCTAGAATTACTAATCTCATTAATCTTGAATAAAATAGGCCACATATCAGTTCCAGAACTCTTGCAAATTGGAAAACCATCTGTGCCAATCGTTAATGTCAACTCACTAAAAGGAAAATCTGCAGGTATAATTTTTAGAATTTGACTTTTTATCCCGAAATAGAAAAACTTTCCACCTGCAAGAGTTTGGATACAAATATTACGTGGCGTTTTCAACAATGTTTTTGAACATATTGGCAAACTACTCGAATCAAGAAAATGAGGCTTAATAATTTTTAGTAAGTCTGAGAGCGCGGAGTGTGTGACATTGTGCTTAATTGCCCAATCCCTAATTTCATGATCTATAGTAACTTTAGATGATAGGACATTAATATTCTCTACAGTAACTACTCGTCTATCTACACTAATACTTTGCGGTGGATATTGAATGCCTTGTACATTAACAACATAATTTCTATTAATAGTGGTTTCACCTACGCCAATATGTCTAATACTATTGTTAAGCTCTTGAAGTAATGTATTTGCTTCTTCGTTAACCCTCCTCCTCCTCGTCCGGTACGACGACATTCGTTGTTTTTCTGGAAGTTCTGCCACCATCCAAGTCTTTTGCGTTCCCTAACCAGCGTTGAATAATTCCCACAATTTCCGATATTGTCAATTTTTTCCCAAATTCACTGGCTAGGGTGGCTTCTAGTTAAACAGAAATGGCGTGTTAGTGAAACATAAAGCTAAATATCCAATCATACACCCACCATTAATCTATTCAATAAAAGCTTACCGATAACTAGACGATTCAATTTTAAATTGTTAAATGCTGTTTTCCCATTTGTGCCAACGTAATTTATTTTTTCAGCCAAGCCTTTAGTGAGGGTACTTGCTAAAATTCCAGTAACAACTTTCAGTGCTGATTTGCCTCCATTTCTCTTGAAAATTTCTACCTAGAAACGAGTACAAAAATTATTTCCGTCTTGGGATATGAGAATAAAAATTGCCAAATTGGTGTAAATAATAAATATCTATTAATAGCATACGAGCTTCGAGCAATTATCTTTTTCCTTTAGCCAATCCTCCAGAATTAAAACATCAGATTCGTTTTCCAGGGGGAGGTTCACTGGAATAACAACACTATTTTCTACAGATGAATTAGCGTCATCTGTCCGGAGTAGCAGAGTGCGAATATCTTGGCGAATATCTGAGATTCCATTTGCGACCATTCGCTCCAGTGCTAGTAGAAATTATATACAAATTTAAAAGATTTTAAACCATTTGAGAATTCAAAATACATGCGTGATAGAGAAAGTTCTTACCAACTTGACGAAGATAAATATCTTCCAAAGTCACTCCACGAATACGGGTAGCAGCGATTTCTGCATTCCCAGCCTGAGTCCTCACAGGAGGCGGGACATCAACTTGTGAGAGAGGGGGGGATGACCAATAATGATTTCCTGACCCTGCGGCTACTTGATGTTCATTATTTGGACTTGGTAATGTTGGTATTTGTGATGTTGGCGAATTCAACCCAGCTGGATCGTTGACAACGACATGAAGTTGGTATTTACTTCCGTCAAATTCTAGTAAATCTGAAACAAGAAATATGGTAATGTTATGGTATCGGTAGTATTTCTTATACTTTTGAATTTAACAGGCTTGAACTTAGAATTATAATTTACGTACCCTCTTCCCTAATACTTATCGATTTACTTGAGAAACTTTGAGAATGGTTCCTTTCTTCCTCTTCAGATGACGATGACGGTCGTCGCTGTCTTTTTCTTGTAGGTTTCAAACCCCTATCCTTTTCGCCAAGTTCGTCTTCTTCAGCTTCAGTTGTGTCAAGGTCCGATGAAGTGGTGGCCTATTTTTCCAAATTCTTGGCTTCAAGATAATTATCTGAGTAAAATATAATCTAATTTTATATGATGATGACTTATGTGTGAGTAAAATATTAATAAAATGAGATTCTCAATTATAATGTATTTAAATGGCGAGTGGAATTTATATAAATTAATTAAATAAGCTGATTTTTCTTACTAGTTGATTTAAATATCCGTATATCAAATAAAGGCCAATGGTCACCCGGTTTTTTGACTGCCCGTATATCTGCACTTATATCCTTACAAGGACCTGGTGGCCATTTACATTGACCTTTGTTAGTTGACAGCCAGGATGAGGGAACTACCTGAACACTACTGTCAATTTTAAATTTGACTACTGAAAACATTTCGAGCAAACAAAATTTCGGTCAACTGTATTCCTACTGGTGTGAGGTGGACTGGGAGAGCGCGTCATATATCGCGCACTTTTTCTCTTTGTGTACAAGTGATGCATATTATTTGGATAAAATGTTAGGGAAGGACCGACTGAATTACAACGTACATAATATGCAGCTTTTATGGAAACAACTTATGAAGGTTTTATTCACCCGATGCTGGTGAATAAAATGTTATTTTAATTTGATGGAAATATTGCAAGAATAAATAATTGAGTATTATGCACATAAAATGTTAATGCTTTCCCTAACCAAAATTTCCCTTAAGAAATATCGAGTTCCCTAACCAAATATGCAAGAAATATGATGTCGGTTCTTCATGGGGGGGCTCTGCAGTATGTGTTTGTTGCCGTGTCTGTCAAGGCTCGTCCAGAAGTTATTTCCCACCCATTGGCACGATAACAACTGAAATATGTACATAAATCGTGTAATTTTTCGAATCCATGTGTTTACTTAAAAAAAAAAAATTAAACAAAATATTTGTAATTTTACTTTTGCATGCAGATCATTGCCAAGTATGACGTCGTCTCGTTCGGAGTGTATCCCGAATCGCAGACTATGGAGCCTTTCAAACCAACTATGTTTCCAGAGTCGTCTACGCTTGCCTGTTTCAAAATGTATGAACAGTTGCAAAAATAGATTCGCATATCGTTACTTTGTTCGCTAGAGGTTAGTCGGGTCAAGTATTTTACTCGACCCGATAAATTTCTGAAACCGACCCGACCAAACCTAATCGTCTTAAAGCCGATTGGGCTCGGGTTTAACCGGGTTGACCCGTAACCCCACGTCATATAGGTGAGTCGGGTCACACATTTTGAAAACCCGACCAGCACGACCCGACAAATTTCTGAACCAGATCGTGTTACAGGCGGTTTTAATCGACTAACCTCTATTCACTACACTTACCTCATACGTGGTGAAGTACGGATGTCTCTTGCCAATCATTTTCATATTTATCTCCAAATCCAGAACTATTCGAACGGGTCGATTCGTCACGTGCGCCGCGACCGCACAGGCTGCCGCGGTGGGGCATGATTTTAATATTTTTGCCCCGTACCCCCCTCCAAGTCGTCTCACAATGAGGTTAATGCTGCAATTAATATTGGACAATTACAGCAAAAATATTCCTAAAATTTTGGCAAGAATTTGCGACCAACTTACAAATGATTCGGCACGCCGATGGCGGAAGCCACTACGGATTGAACCAGGTCGGGATACTGCGTAGCGCAGAAGACGTCCATCCCATCCTCTCTTGGCACGCAAATACATCTGTTACATGGTTATTATTAGCAGTAGCCGCGGAACTTTGGGTACCGAGGGACCCACAGGTCCCCATGTTATGCAAACCGCTCTCATTTTCAACCAGTTTCCTATTTTTTTTAGTTTTTTTGCGAAAAGCACGAAAACCCCACTTTTAAACATTGGTCAGTATATGGAAAATTCCAAAATTTGGGGAGAAAAATATCGAAAAAAATCCACTTTTCACCATAGAGTTTTCCATACCGATGAAATATTCTCTTTTTTTTGATAAATTTTGATGTCAAGATAATTTATGTGTTACATAAATTTGGGTATTTCGTCGGAGAATAAAATAGACAAATCTGTGCATTCCGCCGTGAACGGAAAGTAAAATAAGTACTACACAAATGTGTGTACTTCGTCATTAAGAGGTTAATGTAAAATGTTAAAAAAAAGTGAAATTACGACTGCGTCTCCATCGACATGTGATACTGCGATCCAACCCTGAATTCCCCTTTGATCGTTTGTGTCCCCTTTTCGTCCCCAGAGGGGGACGTTTTCCGGATTTCCAAGATACAATTTTCACCCTTTTTCTCCGCCAGTTTGAGCGAATCCTTCATGTCGAGGACGGGTTTCTTCACGTCGCTGTACACAATCCGGACCTTCTTAGCGGCTTCTAATGCAATGGCGCGACTCTCGGCTAAAATCAAGCCGACAGCTTGCCCTGCGTGGCGAACCTTGTCTTTCACAAAGATCTAAACAAAATATTGACCGTATTCATTATACGCTTTCAAAAAGCTAAAGTTTGCAAAAATGTTGGCTTGAAAATTCATTTGCGAACTTGGCCATCTCTAAGGCTAGTATTGGCAAATTATGTAGCCAAGCGAACTCCTCATTCATGATGAATGCATAAAATTGCCATAATTTCAACTTCACCAGATGTATGAATTTATGTATGTACCTCTTCAATAACTGGGTAAAATATGGTAAAGTTGTTCGGTCCTGGAATATCTTTAGCTTGGAGAAAGGTTACCACACCCGGGGTCATTTGAGAAAAAATGCATGAGAACCGTACCATGTACATACATAAATCCCTTCATAAATCATGTAACGCAAAAATTTCGATTTTCTAGAACCCCCCTCCCCTCGTTAAACATGTCGCACAATGTTTCTAGGCACAATATCATTGGTGCCCTAGACCCCCCGCTTCCCATGACGCACTACATACATAATTTATGAACCAGCCCTCAACACATGGTCAAATATAATATGTACATGTATAAACATATACCAGTGCTTCTGACGCGTCAATACTGGAAATGGTAGCATTGGCGACCGTTGTGAGGACAAAAGCTCCAAACAGTTCGCCAAACTCGGGATCAATGTCATTTATATATTCAGCCTCGCCTGTTGTTTTGTTTAAACAAACATGACAATACAAAATTTAAGTGAGGCAGTACCCTTAACTTTGTCGTAGTAGACTATGAGCAAGTTTTGTGAAACGGCAAACCCACCGGAAGCTTGGACAGCGGCTTCGATTTTGGGAATGGGCTGGTAAAGTGGCCACTCTTTCTGGTCAGAGTCGAAAGTCTGCTGCCCACTCATTGGACCGTGTTCCAAGTCCTGCCCTCCAGATCGTAAGGGTGCTTTTACCGAGTCTCCAAGAATGGAGAGGATTGTCTAAAAAAATGTTTTGGAATTAATAGAAGTTTAATGATGTCACGTGTCCTTGCGCACCTTGTAAAGTAGGGATTGTGCCAGCGTTTTTCTATAAATTGTGGATCCTTCCGTCGGATTATGGTCTGGCTTTAATTCAGCTTCTAAAGTATCCATCGTTTTGATAAGTGCTCCCTTATCTAAGTTCTTACCAAAGAGAAAGTTTTCCGTTTGTGTGGCATGCACCTAATACATATGCCAATTTGAGAACATTGCTATGATCAACTATTACTGTTAAACAATTGAATTAGATGTTTCGATTTTATAAGTTACAAAATCTGGCGAAATTCCACCAAATACAATGCGAGGTTTCTCCAAAACTTTGAAGTTCTTCTTGGTGTCGACTTTAACTAGAATTCCGGCATTTACGTAGGCATGTGCATTTTGATATCGTCTCGTAATCTGGCAAAATATGTAACTTAACCAAATTGGAGAAGAAAGCGTATCCATATCAAGGTGCAAACCTTGTAAGTTCTGAAATAGTAATTTCCTCCCTTGTAAGGCGGGAGAATAATGCAAAGTATCAACTTCCCCCGCATGTCTAGCTCTCTAAATGCTACCATCCCGTACAATTTGGATACCGTGGGAGACGCTCCTGTTTTCAAAAAATGCAAAATATTCTATTATTAATAGCCTGATTTACACTTTGTCAAAGGAAGTTGTGTGGGAATATACTATGTAATTCTACCGCGTGACCAGTTCTCTTCTGAGGGAAAAAATTGCTTCCGGTGTCGGTAATAATCTTATTACCAGAGCATTGACATTTGGGGGCTAGCAGGATATAGTCTCTTTATACTTACATATTGATGTTACTCTTGTGTAATTAATTATTACCGCACCGGTAGAATTCCGTAGTACTCGCTCCGGTAACAATTATTGAGAGCGTATATTTACCAATGAGAAGTTTAGCCCCCACGGCCTCCAGTAGCATAAATATGTCGGAAGGGAAGCTTCGATGAGCGTGTTTCATCATCAAATTTCCGCTTAACGTGCCTGCCTAGAATTCAAACAGAATGGAAAAATGAATCAAAAAAGGAACCTGATATGACTTTGATACTATTTCGTTAATTATTTAAGTCCCAAATGTACATATACCCAATAATATGCAAATGTCTGTATTACTGCTTGCTTACATTTCTAACGGGCACATTAGCAACCCGCTTCAAGTGGTTGCTCATCTGTGCGCAGTACTCATACCCTTTCAATTTCAGACGCCTTTTGTAGCTGGTCCATGGCATAACAAAGTGTCACATTTGCCCCAATCTTCACCCCGTAAGGTTCTATCATACTTCGCTTTAACTCTGGGACTGAATTAACATCGATGAAGGCAGAGAATGGGCCGTCATCCTTAAAAACGCCTGAAAAATAATGGGCGTACTCACGACAACGTCTTATTTTGCATCGCAACTCATTTACCAAACTTGCGAAAATCAAAATCTTTCTGTCGTGAGGGGATTCGCAAAATATGACTTCGCAACTCTCTCCAATCTAGCAAATCTACTGAAAAACCCCATTTTGGTATTGTTTCCATGGATTTCTTTAAGTTCTCCTGATGGGAATCTTCAAGATGAGTTTGCGAAATAATTTTGTGAAATAAGAACATGCACAATTGCTGTGTAAATTTGCGAAAAAAAAATCCCATGGTTTTCCAGCAAAATTTTTGCGAAATCTCGCATATTTCGCAAAACTTCGCAAGTCATGTTGCTATGCTCAATTTGAGAGATATGCGAAATATGCGAAGGTTGACGTGAGTACGCTCAATGCCTCAAAAACGATGAAAGTGATCTCGTCAACTTTTGTATTAAACATTTTCTTTCCCACCTGTCCCCGTGTTTCCAGCCACGATCCGATATTTTATGCCTCGTTCGGTAAATCGTTGCAAAGCTTTGTAAACGTCGACCAACGAGGTGGCAGTGATCCATTCTTCGCCAGACTTGAGTGTGACGTAAACATGGGAAAGGCCAGGGCAGCATTCGATATCTTCAATGTCCTTGTTCTGGCAGCAGTTTATTTTCATGGGGCAGCCATTGCATGCCTGGAGAGGAAATGGGGATGAATAAATACATATGTATCATGCATATTATTTCTCCCTTATAAATTAGTACTTGAAATAGATGAAAGGTTCTTTAAGCACCTACCGAATTGCCGTCGGCCGCTTTTCTTTTTAATTCTTCCGATGCGTCGCTAGCAAGAGCTTTAAAGGCATCCATAATCGGACGGTATCCAGTACAGCGACACAAATTTCCGTCAAAGTTATTTTCAACATCTTGCCTTTTAAAAGTTGGCTTTGACTGTTGCAAACTGTGAGTTGACATTTTTGCACACGTTAAATTAAGGTCATTTTTACACATAAATATGTACGTATCGCCAAACACTACGAACCTGTACATATTCATTGCCGGGAGTACAGAACCCGCATTGGGTAGCGGAAAACTTAACGATTTGTTGCTGAATTGGGTGATATCTTTAAGAATTAATTGTTAAATACGCGAAAAATATGTTGTTAAATTGCTCTGAGAGTATGAAATACCCTTCTTTTTTGTTGCCGAGCCCCTCAACCGTTGTAATTTCCCAGCCGTTGCACTACAGGACAGGAACCAGGCACTATATTTGAACATTGAAATGGATGAGTTCCATAAATAATCGTCATTAATAAAGCGAGAGAGAAAATGAAGTGTGCAGAAATGTTTACAGAATTCACGGCACGAATCTCGCTATGATCTAGAGATTTTACAGATACCACGCAAGCCCCACATCCACCTACAAATTAGCATACATATTCATAAAAAAGCGTTTACACAGTTTTGTAAATAAAAATAAGTTTTCCATGGATTTATTTTTTGAAACAGTAACCTTCTCTGCACATGTATTTTGTCCCAGTAAGTCCAGCCTTGTCTCGAATAAAGTCCACGAGTCGGGAACTGGGGCCGTTTTAACTGGGGGGGGGATAAAGCAGTTTTGTAGTTTTTCAGATTAATTCCTGGTGTATATTTTTTTCAAGATTTGTTTATTTATTTACCATTGTATTCTTTGTCGTTGATAAAGAATGCAACGCTGTTAAGTTTCGCGTTGTCATTTCTGAAACACAAAAAACCTTAATAGAGCTTAACTGTAACTTGGGAGATAGTAATTTGAAATTTTATAACATTATAGCCAATCGCATTTGTGGTCAGGGTTCGGAAAACCCAAGGCTGAGGTTTTTGTGGATTTTTTGTAGCTTTTGGGAGGGTTGAAAGAAAATTCTTAAAATTATGTATATATTAGAGTGAAACTACATAATTAAGTAAATAAGCTTTGTAGTTTAAGTATGTTGATTGGCTTGGAAGTCGAAAGTTCATGTTTAACATGCAAACCTGGAAATATGTAATGTTACTTGGAAATTCAAGTCGCACATGAAATTTCATGCTGAATCTGCAAATTTAATTGGTAAGTATTTTCAAGCGTTGGCTTTTTAGGGCGCCGCTTATTTCTGAGCGTGAACAATTTAATCGGTCTAACTCGGTGATAATCATCCACACCTCCTCATTGTCAGAATAAAAACTAGTTAAGCGGGTCCCCCATATTATTATGGAATAATGGTCTACTAAATTTTACGCAAATTTTAAGGTATCATACATAAAAATCGTAGGAGCGCGAAAATGTTGCTACCTCAATGAATATGTATCCCTGTATGTATATCTACTCTAAAAATAAGAAACGTTAGCATGAATATTTACATACACTCTCAATATTTTTTGACGATATTGTTACCTGCGGAGGTACTATGCAATTCTACCGCTCGGGTAATAATTTATCACCGAAGGGTAGCATATATATATATACAGAGGCTAAATCCTGCTCAGCCCCCAATGTCAGCGCTCAGGTAATAAAAATATCACCGATACCGGAGGAAATTTTCTACCCTCAGAAGACAAATTTGTTACTATAGTGTTACCACGCGGTAGAGTTGTATAGTATCTCCGCGGGTAACAATTTTGTCAAAAAATTATTGAGAGTGTAAGTCTGAAGTTTAAAAAAAACGCATCACTAATCAGAAACATTTTACATCAGTAAAGGCAAACTTTTATTGCACTACTTACTCGGAAAGTTGACTCTGTTCGGCTCCCATGATTCACCAAGAAACACACAATTTGCACCTTCGACTTAAAATATTAATCACACGACTTTTGATTGATAATTTTTAAGAGTCAGAAATCACGACGAGATTAGCAAAGATGAAACAATGAACTAAACCAAATCATTGTCGCTGGTCAGGGTTTTATATATAAATAAGCTATAAAAATGTAATGCAAACCTAAAAATAAAATTATCCAACCCCATTAAGAGCAGACACATAGCATAAAAATTGGATATCGTCGTTACACATACAAATCCAAAAGTTTTACATAGGATTATGTCTTATCTTCAAACACTGTGCATTGCAAATCCAAATCGTACTCATTGCTTTAGGGAACGTCCATATATTACGTCATAAAAAATATCTTACTCTTGTTAAGCTGAACATGAGAAGGAGAGGAAAGGAGCGCATGGGTCGTCTAATAGTCCGAGTTTTTATGATGACGTAATACATGGAGTTCCCTTACGAATACAGTGGATGACGCTTTAATGTTCCAAGTTCAGTGTGGAAACATGTACGAAATGATATGTATGCATGGTTTAGATACATTTCGTACTTACATATGTGTCTAACTCTGTCGATATGAGATACGCCGTAAAGTTTTATAGACATTTCTAAATACCAATGATTGTCTGCGTATTATTTACGTTACAATAAACAGCTAGGTTGGTGGGCAGAAAGTCTACGCAAGGTTGGGTTAGGTTAGTTATTCCGTGCCGGAACGGAATTCGAGTTGTATAATTAAGCCATATGACTTAATTAAGTTGCGTAACTTAATCAATTTAATTGACCAGTCTAGACAAGGTTAATGGGGGCGAAGGCCAACTATGTGTCTATTTAATGCTGGTGAGATACTAGAAGCTCACTATTTTAGGAGCCTCCGAGCTGATTCGCGACGACCTCGACAGCCTTACCTATCGCATCTTATCCTCCAGTGGAAATTTTACCCCCAGAAATTTAGAAAAATCATATTTTTCTGAAAATCATATTAGTGAGCCCTAGGAATCTTACTATGCTAATGCCTCCCCCCCTAATTACTGCTATTTCTCACGCTTACAGTGTATCTGCACGTGTTGGCTATGGCCCATCACTGCAAAATCATGTGCCAATGCAGATGTGTATGGTACATACAAAAACTTTAAGCTGGACACCATGGGAAAGTTTTGATGAAACGCGATCTTTACATGTTTAATTTAATTGCAAAGATTTTCATGAAACGTTTCATCAAAGTTACTGTCGCGCATTCAAAACGATTATGACAAAAGAATGAAGAGTAGCAAACCAGGTTGACTGATTCGGAAGCAATCCCTCAAAATTTACAGCATTTTGAAAAATCATGATTTTGACTGAAAACCCATGTAAAATTTCTGCCGTATTCAGGAAAGCTCAAAAATGCGGGTTCGCTTATGTGTGTATTTACTTCTGTGAACAATTTAAAATTGATCGAGTCAAGATCGGAGGAAACCACTTCATGCCTACGCATGTAAGCATTTATCAACTTTGCAATGATTTACCCTTAAAATTTCCTTTTAATCAAAAATACATCGTGTACACTTACTCTTAATTTTTACAACATTTATTACTTTGGTTAAGATTGTATATGTTAATATGTATGTACATTCACTAAAGCTTATCCATCTCCATAATTAAGTCACTTATTTAATTATGGATTCTTAGTCCCGCAAAATTTATGTTTGCATGTTGCTTCGATCCTGCTAATCACGTTAATAGCTTAAATTAAATGATCGTAAATTTTGTGTGATTACGAAACAACACGCAAACTTTTTTTAAAATCAAACAATGCAATTATGACTTCCGCAAAATTGAGAATTAAATAAATGATTGGCGTGAAGCATATTTCACACTAATGATCTCAAACGCGTTTTGTTCCCTGCTTAGATATTGAGTTAGCTGGTTGCATACGTAAGGAATGCCTGCCAATGATATAAAGTGGAATTCAAACTATGTACCTATGTAAAATTACCTCTTTCCATATTATGTATTCCAATTACATATTATGTTAACTGTCAATATATATTTGCACATTTTATAGATATAAATATGTAAGGTGTGTACGTATACATGTTGGTAGCCAAAATCTGAATTTTATTGCTACCAAGCCATCGTAAAGGCTATTCTTCTATCTATCTATACAGCTACATATGCATAAATAAAAATAAAAAAGCTATTACAATCTGGATATATTTTTTTAATTACTTTCTTGGCATTCTTTGTTTTTACCGTTTTAGACATATGTATATACATAGTTTGAGATGAAGATTTCAGAAATCCTCCTCAAGCGACGACCCCGTGACCGTGTGGACGAGGTCAAAGCGCGAAAAGTTAAAGTTTCTCATGTGTGGTGTCTATCTACAAAAGGGATGTGATGACGGAACCCCCTTCGGGAAAAAATGTAATTTTGTAGAAAACAGTCACACTTGTAGAACTGAAGAAACGAATTTGCTCATATTTACATACCTGTGTTTTTACGAGTTTGACCTTCTTTCTACCAATTAAGCATAACATGCTGTCATTCTTATTTACCTACCAGGATCAGGTGCGCTCGTCTACCTCATTAAGATTGCATGTGGAAATTTATAAATGATTCGACCCGACTAGAAATTCTGATTGGTGAAATGGAGGTTAGGTTAGGTTAGTCCTTCAGGTTTGCATATTGAAACACTTACGAGAAATTGCTTACAAGGGAGGCCTCTCACGTGTAAAACTCAGATTTCCATGGGACCTGTTTTATTTTATTCATCGCCAAAATAAATATACGAGTTTTTTTTAGGTTTTTCATAATGTCATAATTTGACCGAGACGCGCGAATTGTAGACGGTTTTCCATCCACAACGGCTGGTTTCCAAAATCCCGTGACATTTCGAATTTTAGCGCCAATTACAAAATTTGAAAATATGTGTCTTCAAAATGACATTTTATTTATTAAAAATCTAATTATAAAATTTGAATTACGCAGAATCTTTACTAGTTTTTTATAATCTAACAAGATTATAAATTTATGGAAACTTGAATACACATTTCTATCAAATATTCCAACTGGATTTTTACCAAATCAAGTAAATTATTTAGATTAAACGTGTTTTCAAATTTTTATATCTGGCGCCAAAATTCGAAAATATACGGAATTTAAAAAATTCTCGGGTAAGGGTGGAAGCCGGTTTAAAATTCGCACATCTCCCGCTCAAATTAGCGCATTTAGACAAACCAAAATATAAATAAGTACCAGCTAAATTTTCGTGCTAAACAAAATAAAATAGGTCCATGTACACAAATCAGAGTTTTACATGTGAAAGCAGTGCATTGTTACGAAAACAGATACCTTACTCGCAACAATACCAATTTTTACCCCGTTGACGACGAAATCGTCGTAAGCTTAACGACATTACGTAACATGTCTGGCCGCACTGTCAAAAATTTGGTGAAATATTTTCCCGTGTTGGGATAGATTTGGGAATAATTTCGTACCAGATTCATTGCAACGACATATTTTTTAAAATGATTCTCACCAGCGGAGATACATAAATATGTACTATGCAATTCTATCCCGTTGTAACTCTACAATAATAAGTTGTCTTCTGAGGGTAAGAGATTGTCTCCTGTGTCGGTAATATTTTTATTACCAGAGCATTGAAATTTGTGGCTCAGGAGGATTTACCCTATGTAAATATATTTATGTATGTATATATGTGACCCTTCAGTAATAAATAATTACCGAAGCGGTGGAATTGCATAGTATCTAGCTCTGCGGGCAACAATCGCATCAACAAATTGTTGAGACTATACGATACGGTAATACCCTTTATTACTGAAGTTATACATATTTACATATGTATGTATACACGAGTCTCTTGTATAAATATGTATGCTCCGGTCGTTAAGATGCAATATCATTTTTCTAAGAGTGCACTCACTAATTTCTCCGAAAATAATTGCATATTTATACATTCTCCCTAGTCTGGTACCAATCGCTTCATTACTTATTTACTGAACTCCAACCCAGCCAATAGTTTACTATTTGGTATAAAATACGATTGGTTTAAACCAATCGTACATATTTTATTTTTCCATCCATCCTTACTCATCAATTTTATATACATCATAAAATACGTGACGTGTAGAAGCGCATGTGCATACTCGTGACAAATATTTACATGTAGCCATTTTAACCTTTGACATATTTATAATCCGGTATTTTTACGCAGCGACTTACGTAACCTTGTCCTCCCAAAAAGACGGGATTTATCTACTAAATAAAATACTCGCAGTTATTACCGACGAATGATTGATTCTCATATCTCCTACCTACCTACGTGAGCATATACAGTCTCATATTATTTATTAAGCCAAAGCACTCTTAAAAATAATGCTACTCTTTTGAGAAGTAAAGGCACACTGAATTCTAAATTGAGTATGCATACTAAACCCACAGAAACATGAGCTTGATAAAAAGTAAAGTTTACTCTGGAGTTTGTAAATACACAAGAACTTATTAGAGTGAAATTCATTTGTAAAAGGCTCCCATTATTTTTAAGAGTGTACATGTCTACGCAGATGGATATCTTTTTCTAGAAATTGACTAAAACTCGTGAAATAAATTCCAAATGAGAACTTGCCTCCACCGGAGTAGAAATAAAAAATGTTCAACTTTTCAAATTTCGTCCCTTTAATCGTCATGGTACTGAGATTCCCCACACTTATCGAATCGACCGAAAAACTTGGCCACTTTGTGTCAAATCTCGTCACAAATTCGCCTCAGCTCTCAAAATGTTCTGTACTCCTGGTTACCCCGTTCGATCAGAATATGTTTGATCTGTCCCCTCTGCTTTACCATCTATCATCCCGTGTAATTCCCTCATTCCATGGGGGACTGGTGGCCATAAATGGGTCTGACGGGGACACAATTTTTGGACCACTAAAATTCGACATCTATTTCAAGCGGAGGCAAAATTACTGCTCAGTTATTCTGGCCTTCTTCTCGTCTGAGGCGGAGTTTGACCCGTTTTACGGAAAAGTTGTGACAAGTCTGCCCACCTTAGTGAAGAAAGATGAAGATTTTTTCGTCCTGGTGGGAAATTC